GCATCAGTTTATAGAAGCTATGAGAAACTTGAAGGATGCTCTAAGACGGTTGACGGTGTGGAGGTCGAGGATTGGGGTAGAAGGCTAGTAGTACATAGTTCTGCATCTTGTCTCTCCTGCTAGTAGTATTAGTATTATTTTACTATTTTCGTATTTTTAATTCTTAGTTTTCTATTACTATTGATGTCACTTATGCCTCTATTTTCTTACCATTCTGTTGCTATTATTGCTTATGACTTATGTCTTCATAAATGTTGTGTTTTTGCTTTCCTTGAGCCAAGGGTCTATCAGAAACACTCTCTCTACCTGCCACAGTAGGGGGAGTAAGGAATACGTACACTCTACCCTCCCCAAACCCGACTTGTGGAACAATATTGGGTATATTGTTGTTGCTCTACGCTGTTGACACCTTTAATTCCCGGCGTGAGGATGTTCCAGTACCTAAAATTTCTATTATCAAAGAGCACTTATTTAGCCCTCACCAGTTCCAAACATAGCATCAAACTGTTTTACTTTATTGCTTTTTTCTTAAAAGTCACGCACCGAATTCCCTACAATGCTATCATCCAACACTGCTATTCAGTTGCACAGACCATCATGAAAACTTTCAACTCTTTCACCCTAACACTCAAATTCATGACAGAAGCAAATAAGACTAAATTCAAAGACGCAACAAATTAACCGTCTTCTGTTGACGATAACATTTTTTTTCCTTTCTGCAGTTAAACTGAATTTACACCAACACTATTTAACTACGTGCAAAGAAAACAATAGGATCTGCAATATCATAAACTTCAGACAAAAGGGATTTGTTAAAACGAAAGATTTGAAATTAAAAAGGAAGAAAGAAGAGCATCAAATTCCTAAAGCAGATAGTACCTGCAGCTGACGCCCAAAATGTTCTTCCAGCATTGTGCTGACGTTCTCTGTCCTCCCCATGTGAAGTGGAATTAGCGGAGATGCCCAAACTGTAACATACACGGAATCAATAGATAATTCTTCCACATCCAACCGCATGAGTCCACCTATATGAACTGAATGTCCAACCTGTCCACAGCAAATAATGAAATCATGAGATTTCGAAGTGGACAAAACAAACTAAACCAGAGGAATCATGTTCTTCAAGTGAAGTTTCAGCATAAGCATAGGCAGACACATCTAATGGACAATAGGTGCAATGAAAAGATAAATTTGGGCTGTCTTTTCATATTTAGATCCTGTATCTAAGACTACACAAGCAACCAAAACAGTCACATCTCCACAACCATTTTACAGGTTAATAATCTAATCTCCAGTTGTATCTTTCCTGGGCATACCTTGCCATTAGATGCTCTTTTAAATGCTCTAAAGCTTCACACAAAGTTCTTGACCAGACCAAAATCTTTTTACAAAATGGAAAAAAGTAAAATACACATTTGTGAAGTAAGTTCAGATAGTTGGTTGAAACATATTACAAGCAACAAGAAGCACTACACAGGAGAACTTGAGCCAGTATACCACCTCAAAAATGAGAAAGGAATAATGAATTAAATTAAAGTTGCTTCCTTTCTTATCTGGTTATTATATATTAACAATCAGTGCAAGGATTGGATATGACTAAGATGAGCAAAATGAGATGGACTCGGTAAATTATCATACTTGTATGATAGTAGTTGATTACTCCGAAATACGATAAACACAGTCAACAACACTCAAAACTGAAAGTGAAATGCAATAGAAAGAAAGCTTCTGCAGTAAAACAACAAATTCATGTAGCAGCCTTGAAGAGAAACTATGAACCTTGATTCTGTATGTCCTTGGCTTCAACTCTTTACTTATATGAACTAGCTTCTGCTCATCCCTAGTCAACCTTGTCGAAATCTGATGCGGATGTAAAAGCCCTGGAGTATCAAACAACTTGGCATTCCTTGGAAGCACACCTTCTACCCTCAGTATTCCCAACGTAGTCCCCGGCACCGGTGCCTCTGTTAAATGACTTAGATTTCCACCTGAACACTTCCCTATTGCATTGATTAATGTGCTCTTTCCAGCATTTTGTGCTCCTACCGCCCAAATATGCCCTCTTGGCCCGGCCAGTCCCACTACATCATCAATCAAATTCTTCACTCCCCAATCCTTCACTGCACTAACCATATGTACACTCGTCAACTTAATCGCCCCACCCTCCCTTGCTCTTGTCCTAACCCAATGTTCAAGCCTAGTAGGTGACAATGAGCTAGGTAAAAGATCAATCTTTGTAACTACCAATACCATTCTAGGTACATTCCCTGATTTCCCCTCCTTCCACGCCCGCGAGTTCTCTTCAATTGTCCTAGAAACTAACTGAGCTACTTTCCTAGGAAAAGATCCATCGAAATCAGATGCATCAACCACCATCAAAACAACCGTCCTCGCTCCACTACTCGACATCAACCTCCTCCCAACAGTATGATCAAAATCAAAATCAGGCAACAAATTCTCCACACTTGGATCCTTAACCTTCCCATAATGCCTCAAACTATGACACCTAGCACAAACAACTGGCTTTTCACCTTTCACCCCTAGTTTTTCAACATTTTCTTGATTTTCATGTTCTACATCCTCATTAAGTAAACCCCTTTTCAGAGAAAACGATATCTCAGGCTCATCAACAACTGGATTCTTGTTAATGGGTGTTTTATAATTTAGGGGTTTAACACAAGGCTTGATGAAATACCCTGGTTGTTTTTGGTCAGAATCTTGAATTTTAACACCACAACCAGGGCAAACAACATCAGAAATGGATTCCTCAAAATTCCCATCTCTAGAAACTGGTAAAGATTGGATTTTTATAGGTGTAGAGAAGTTTCTGAAGCTGAACAAGAATGAAGGGACAAGGGTTTTAGCAGGGTTTTGGGTATAAACATTTTCAAGAACTGGAGGAGAAGAGTTTGGTATAGGATTTTTGTGTGTATATGCTGAGAGAGAAAGTGGAAAAATCAATTTTTTCAACTTTGATGAAGAAATTGATCTGATTATCATTGTTCTTTGATTGATTTTCTGGTAATCTAAGGTTGTTGTCAAAGAGTTTAAGAGGCATTTGTACCCTTTTTTGAGGTTTAAGGATTTTGTTGTTCTCTTTGGGCTGTCTAACTAGCTAGGGTTCATTGAAAATTAAATTCATTGAAAATTTTAATTTTCAAGACGTAAATTGGTCTAGATAAATTTTTTATGACGAGCTCGATAGCTTGATCAAAGATAGAATATAAAACGTTTCAAATTTGAGAAATTCATTAGGGAAATTTGTGCTCAACATATGAATCCTTTTTCGTGATAAAAGGGTTTTGAATTTGAAAAATTCATTAGGGAAATTTGTGCTCGACCAACTGAGTTATTCTTATGAATTTTTATTTGTGATGATTTCGAGAAGGGTGTGTATTCAATATTAAAATTTAGTATTTTGAAAGAATATAATTTAATTTGAACGAATAAAATTGATTTGATTTAATTTTTTTCTTTTCTTTTTGACTTAATTATTTTTTATTTATTGGATCACATCAGAAAAAATAATATAAATCTAATATATTTTAATTGAAATGATAGACATTAATATATTTGATTTTTGAATTTTCGTATTTTGAAACAGTATCATTCAATCTGAATAAAAATAAATTTGATTTATTTTTTTTAATTTCTTGATTTAGCTTAATTTTTTAGTAATTAGATCATGTCACAAAAAAAAACACATGAATCTTATATAATTTAATTGAATAATGGATATAACATATATATTACTAATAAGGGAGAATTACATTTTTGATAGTGATGGTAAATTTCAAAATCAAACTTTTTAAGTTTATTTGAAATGAAATTTAAAAAACAAATACTTTAAGTTTACACGTCTTTCACTCTTTCAAAACACTTGAAATCAATGGTGTCCAAAATACCCCAGCCAAATAAGAGAGTCGAGAAGAATACAACTAAGTAATTAGGATCACAATTCCAACCTTTGTCGGGAAACCTTCCCTCGTAGTGCTCCAAGTCAAATAAGAGAGACGAAAAAAATTTCAATCAGAATCACAATTTCAACATTGGTTAATTCACTTTATTAGTCTCCCAAGCCAAAAAAAAAAGGGGGCAAGAAGAATGTAACTATCTAATCAACATCACAATTCCGACCTTTATCGGTCAATCTACCTTTTAGTGGTGCTCCAAGTCAAATAAGAGAGTTGAGAAGAATATAACTATCTAATCAACATCAAAATTCCAACCTTATTGGTCGATCTACCCTAATAGTAGTGCCCCAAAACAAATAAGAGAGACGAGTAGAATACAACTATCTAATCAACATCACATTAGGAGAGACGAGAAGAATGCACCTATCTAATCAACATCACAATAAGAGATGAGACGAATGCAATTATCTAATCAATATCATAATTCTGACCTTTATTGGTCGGTATGCCATAATAGCCCCCATGTGCCCCAAGTCAAATGAGAGTAATGAGAAAAATGCAACTATCTAATCAGGATCACAGTTTCGACCTTTGTTCGTTAATTAACTCTATTAGTCTTCCAAGCCAAATATAAGAGGTAAGAAGAATGCAAATATCTAATCAACATCACTACGACCTTCATCGATCAATCTACCCTTTTAGTGGTGCTCCAAGCCAGAGACAAAAAGAATACTATTATCAAATCAACATCACAATTCCAACCTTAATGGTCGATCTATCCTAATAGTGATGTCCCAAGACAAATAAGAGAGACAAGAAAAATGCAACTATCTGATCAATATCACAATAAGAGAGACGAGAAGAATGTAACTATCTAATCAACATCATAATTCCGACCTTCATTGGTCGGTATGCCATAATAGCCTCCCCACCCCACCCCCACACGCACAAGACAAACAAAAGATACGAGAAAAATGCAACTATCTAATCAGGATCACAATTCCGACCTTAAAAAATGACTATTGAACACATACAGAAACAATTTTGAGGGACTTAACTAAAGAAACAAAAGGGCAAGAGAGAATATACAGAAAGAGACTAATAACCAGATAGATTATCATATGGCTGGTCATAGAAAAGCTTAAAATGCCTCACAACTTTAGATACATGATCCACAGTTGAGCTAAACTACAATCGATACGATCGATCCGAAAAACCAGAAACTGTATAGAACCATTTACAAAAAATTAAGCCACCAACCAATTTAGCGATAACTAACTATACTTTCAGGGCATCCCCACGATGAAGGAAGATGCATATATCTAGTTTACAATGGCTCTCGCCAAATACGCCCAGCTACCTTTAGCTTCAGCTCCTTCCTGTCACCACCAGAGAAGAAGAGTGCCATGCTCCTTTGAATAATCAGCCCGTCTAAACTGTCTCGGACAGTTTTATGACTATCACGGATGCTCCTCGGTACTCCCTGCCATGTTAACTTTCTGCCAAATCCACCTACTTCAAGACTATAGCTAAATCTTTTCGCATCATCATCATCACCCATAAAACGAAGGAATGCCATGTATACCGGTGCCAATCCAAGATTGAAAGCCTCAAAGTGCAGGCAGAACTGGTGACCGAAACAGTTAAAAACCTATTCCAGGAATCAGCAAACAAACTATTACCAACAGCACATCATTGCAGATGGAACAATGTGAAAATCCACAAAGAAAAAGGCTCGGTTATCGTATGGCTAAATGCTAGATGGAAAATTAATTGGTAGGCGAATAACAAAATTATGCATGCTCTTGTCTGCCTTCACTTTCAACCAAAAAAGATAAAGCTGGCAATAGAAGTATGAACCTCCTAACAATAGCTAAAGTACAAAGACGATGATGAATAACAAAATGTTATACAACACTTCTACAATTGGATGAAGAAAACTGCTCCGTTTCAATTATTTGCCTGGTTTTGATGTGTCTCGGAGTTTAAGAAAGTAGAGAAATTTTTTGAATCTTGTCATCTTAAACTCAAAATATGTAAAATGTATCAAAATGTACTTCAATCTTATGGCATTAAACATGTCATATGAAGAGTTGGAATTAAAGAGTTTGCACTTTGCCAAAAAGGGGAAGAGGCATTCTTTTATAAACAAACTAAAAGGAAAGTAAAACAAATTGTAACGAAGGAGTACATAATAGTGGTTCTTCTTTTTTTGATAAGGTAAATAGTAACAGATTTTTCCTCAAAGTATTGAATAGGAGTTCAAGATCTAACTTTAAGAGAACAAATTAACAGAAACAGCCATCAATTTCTCTCCTTCCACAGAAGACAGCATCAGAATTTTCAAAAGATTTTCTTTCAATGTTGACTTAAAAGGGTATGTGAATCTCATTGGGATTTTGCCTTTAAGTTGTTGATAAAGAAGCACAAAACACTGGACGTTTGTGCTTCTTTTACTTGTGCAGGAAAGCTGTAAAATTACAATAACATACCCGGTGGCAGGTGTTAGCCTAAAAGTGGGATCTAGGGAGGGTAGAGTGTATACAAACCTTACTCCTACCTCGTAGAGATAGGAGAGGTTATACAGTCTTACCCTGCATTGCTGCAAGAGGCTATTTCCATGGCTCAAACACGTGACCTCCTGGTCACATGGCGGCAACTTAACCAGTTACACCAAGGCTCTCCTTCACAACAAAGGAAAAAAGAAAAAAGAGAGAAAGAAAGATAGAGGACTAACCGTCAACATCCATGTAGCATTCTCAACTTCTTGAGGATTAGATTTGACATAACGATGATTGAAGGTACAGCCATCATGCATATCAACTTTGTGATCATCTTTTAGGTGTGCAACGAGGTACTGAATATCACCGGTAACAGCGCATTCAGATCCTGCATATGGGCAATTGTATGGTCGAAATCTGCAGTTCTGCTCATGACGAAGCCTAGTATGATAAGTGAATATATCTTGACAGCCATAAATTTGGTATCGGCACGGCAATTCTAGTGACTCAGCAATTTTTTCCAGTGCTAAACATCTTATGTTTCCAAGCTCATGGCGGCAAATTGGACACACATGTACTTTTGACTTGCACTTCACGCATAACGTGTGGCCGTTTGGACACTTACAAGAAAAAGATCAACAAGCTCAGTAAAAGACCAAGAAATGCACAATATAATTGAAGAATAAGATCACAAACTTGACAAAAAAGAAATAGAAAAACGAAACAAAAGTTCAGTCGGCCAACATTTTTTGGAAGGCACTTATCTTTTGAAGGGATAATATCTTTTTCTTTGATTGTGCCACAAAACCATCACACACTACTCTCGAGAAGGAAGTATGCAATGAATACTACATAAACGGAAGATAGGAAAATCATCTTTCTAACTTTCTATCCCAAAAACATACCAAAAATCTGCTATTAATGTTAAATTATATGCTTTACTGAATTCTTTGTGGTAATTCCTTTACATAGGCCATAGATCTAAGAGATGCATTGGGTATGTAGACTGTAGCACAGTACATAAATATGTTTATCGTGTAGGAAACTAGTTGTTCTCTATCATTAACTACCAACGACAAGCATCAAATTTTCACAATTATTTTCTCTAATACAGCTTGTAGAGTTTACTGTCCATAACATGAGACATTTATCCTTCTTTGTGGTAAACCACACACGTGTAGGTTTAATTTTTTTTCCTTCAGAAAGAACATGAAAATTCCTTTTGATAATGATGATGAAAATCGGGCCCAAGACATCTTTGTGCTTTACTACCATAAAAAGAAGTGTATCAGAACCAAACTTAATTCCAAAAGTAAACTCATGAGGTGAGGATATCCTCAGACCATATAAGGAGACAACAACGCATTCCCTCAATCAATGTGGGACTTACCAAAGTGGATGTCCAGAGTGGGAAGAGTAAAATGGAGAGAACAAACAATGGAAAGCAAATAATGGGGATGGCTGAAACTTATTTCTAGTAGGTTAAGGTACTCTAGCTGTCTAGCAAATTGCAAGAACTTTTTTACTAAGAATGGGGAGAGAACTAATTCATCTCTACTGAACAGACTAACAGACATTTTCTCTCTATAGTAGCTCGAATTGATTATATTATGCTGCACCTTCATTAGATGTGACACTTGAATTTAAAAACTCATTTGAACCATTTATAGTCATTTGTCTAGAAAGAAAGCACAATGAGATATTATGGAAGCTGGACATAACTCTTATCAAAACTGAGATGATTGCATCAGCTCAAAAGCAAACTTGTAAGATAGTACAGCAGTAAAACGTTTTCTTAGAATTCAAAATTCACTATCCAATACATTCTATATAGTTTGGACTACTAAAATTTGGTGTTCAATAATCGTTTGGAAAAATATCAGCATTATTATCGAAATTCAACAGCAAGTACCAAAAGCAGCTCCACCCTGTGCCACTTTGGTGAATAACAGAATGTCACAAATCACTATCATAGCAAAGCTGCCATTCCAATTAAAGAAATATTAGAATCTACCTGGTGAATTGGTGGATACATTGGATTCATACAAACAGGGCATTCAAGTAGCTCATGAACAGCACTATTAGATCCAACTCCATTCTTCCCACCAATAACAGCTGCAGCTTTTCTAAAGGGGGAGTTTTTGAACTCAGCACTTTCTGGTGCAATACCATAGTCAGAATATGCACTGCGGGAATCACCAATATCCTGGTAGTTACTGCCTCCGGGAGCCATGGTATCTATATAAACTACTATGTGTTGACAACAATATATATCCTCCACAAATCTGATCTTCTAGCTCTCTTGACGGCCCTGATCCTGCCACCAAAGAAAGCACGGACATAAATTGGAAAGATATTCATTTTCTGACTAAAAAGGGCAGAGAAATCAACCTACCAAACAGAATAAGAAAAAGATCTACATAAATGAAAAAGCAATAAGGCGTCGGAAAGGAGGTTTGTGCCACTACTAGTTAGAACACCCTGTTTCAATGCCAGTTAATGCATGCAATCTAACACCAACACTTATATGGAAATTTCTTTGCCAAGTCTTCGATGGCTAACCAGAGTAAGTTTTTAAGAAAATATTCATTTCGCAAGCAAAATTAACAGGAGAGTTGGGAAAAGGAGAACAGCAGAAAAGAAGTTCAGTTAAACAAGTTAATGTCCCTATTATAAATAATGAGATAACTAGTCTATTGAACTTTTCGATTGTCAGCATTCAAGATTAGCAAGTTGCACACATGTCTAGAACTGGTCTTTCAATAACTAGGTCATGCGTCAAATAATTGCTAGAAGAAGATACTTGTGTAAAATCAAAATATTATTATTCTAAAAGAGTTTGACCAAAGACTTAATTCACCAAGTAAACTTGCTATGTTGTTGCCAATAATTCACCTATCAATTTTTTTTTTAAAACATAACACATCTAATCCCCGAAAGCAATTACAATTGGTCCTTTGGCAACTGCAAGAAGTAAAATTAAGATATAAAAATAGTTGCACATCTGTAACTTCCCTTCAGATACTAACAAAGTCCTTGCATTGAAAATAATGCGAAGCTATGCTACTCTCAGGACAAAGCATCCAGAAAAGTCTAATTCAACCAAAGATTGGGGAAGAGTATTTGAAATGGAAACCAAGCTGCTACAACCTAGTCCAAGATTTAAAATTCCTTTATTGCTAGTACATCTTATAACAGCAGATAATATACATAGAGGACGATTATACGGAGAACAAATCTTATCCAGAATGACACCTCATCTGCAGCTAGTTTCATGGTATGGATTGACAACCTATCCAAGACAGCCTTTATTATTGGAAATCTAGCGACATTTTGTCCAAACTGACACCTCATCTGCAGCTGAGTTTCACGGTATGGATAGAGCAACATGCTCAAGAAAATCAGAACTTTTTTGGACAATCCAAGAAAACTAGTCCCTTGGTCATAAAAAATTGTCCAATTTCACATCTAAAGAGTCAAAGAAACAAATCTTCGACTAAGATTTTCAAGTGTATTATGCTGTTTGAAATGGAAAATATTATAACTTGAAAAGTTCCTAAACATCCAAATTAATTTCAAAGTTGTTTTTAAATAAGTAAAAGTTTTTAAGAGGATTTGGCATCTGATGTTTTGCAAAGCTTATAAATGTATCTTAACTTGTAATTAAAGTTTCTAACCAAGAGCTAGATTATATTAATTGCACAGCAAAAAGAATGTCTGGTCTCATTTCAACTGTTCTATATTTTTCTTTCTGGACACTAATTATTGAAAAGAGTGCATAAACACAGTGGTATAGGATATTCAAAAACCAAGCAATGTGCTTTTATGTAGCACCAAAGTAGCACTTTGGATTTGTCAATTTGAAGTCAAAGACACATAGATTGAGAACGAATAGCACAACCACATCCACATGGAAAAATATGATAGAAAGATGAAAACACATCAGGAAACTATATCTTTGGCTAAAAGATGTGTGTTGGCTAGAGAACTATCCATCACTCCCATGCAATAATCATAATTCGACAACAACTGGATCCAAAGGTAGAGACATATAAAGAATTAAAAGTGACTCTTTTCAATATACATTTAGAATTTCATTGACAACGATGGGGCGGCGGGAGAAACAAGTTATTGAAGAGGAAAGTACTCCTATTCTTGGAAATTCTCAAAAGGAAAGTAAGCTAGTAATTCTAGGGCTGACGGCAATATTAAAAGGAATGGCATTCATACAACTCTTTTATAGGCAGAGAACTTTGATTTAGCCGCGTTAATAATCATGACACTCTTACAAAGAAAGTGATGTCTAATAAGTATAACGACTTAGTAGATACTTTACCTGCTCAAAAAGAAGAATGAAGACTTATTATGATTATTTTCAATTTTCAAAAGACTCCTTAAAATTTGTCAAGCAGCTCCCTTCTCTTTTAAGGGAAGTGACTTTGATACGCTCAAAAGTTGTCTCGAGTTTCGACACTAATCTGTCATCAAAATTGTCCGCAGACACATTTGCTTAAATTCTACCAGCCAAAGCCATCAAAAGCTTAAGTCCTCGTGCAGGATACCTTGGTTAACCAAACTAACTCACCGAGATGAATAAATCTAAGTTCTTCAACAAAAAATTTCTTAAGGTAAGTGTGGATAGAGAGTTTCCCCACCTGACAAGGCTATGCTAAATGTCCAGCAAAGTATCACCCAATAGGAAAAAGCATAGACAGCATAGCAACTAAGGTATCTCACTTGTTTCCAACATCACACTGGAATGTACCATATAAAAATCTTCTCAAAGAAGTTTCTTACACAAGAAGCGAATGCAATGCCAACAACATCAAGAACAACTACCCTCACTCCCCTTACTGATAAGGCATAACTTTGATTGGACAAAAATGAGAAGAAAAAGAAGAAGCAACAACAACATACGCAGTGGGGTCTGGGGAGGGTAGTGTACGCAAACCTTAACCCTATCTTGAAGCTAGAGAGGCTTTTTCCAATAGACCCTCAAACCAAAAATTCAAACCAATTTTATGACACAAAGGTTCAAACTTTATGAGCTCATAAGAACTCCCACAAACAAGAAAAGCACAAAAAGGAAAAAAAATCATCATCCATCAAAATTTGTTGATCAACAAAAATAGCAGCCACGACTAGAACAAACATCCAAAGATCCAAACTTTGTTAATCATTTTAAGGAGAAAGAAACCTAAATCCTTGAAAACAGAACATTTCTGAGCTCTTCACTTTTTGCCAACATTCCAGTTTTTCAATATCCTAGTAAAGGGCAATTCAAAACAAACTCTGACAGCTAGCTCAAAAGCAAAAAATAAAAAAGACCCAAGATGCTACACCATGTACTTTCTTCACATTTATCTTCCCTCTTTTAACATTTGATTCCTCAAATTCAAACAAAAACATCACCTTCCCAGAAAGAAAAAGTAAAAACCTAAAAGCCTTCAAACCACAGAGATATCAGCACCCTACAAACATAAACATCAAACCAAGAAAAAGATACCACAACAGAAGTCCCAAAATCTAAGGTAAAGAAGAAAAAAGAACCAATCTTATGACACAAAGGTCCAATCCTTATGAGCTAATAACAACTCCCATTTACAAGAAAACCACAAAAAATCATCAGCACCCTACAAACATAAACATCAAACCATGAAAAGATACCACATCAAAAGTCCCAAAATCTAAAGGGAAAGAAAAACACCCCAATTTTATGACACAAAGGTCCAATCTTTATAAGCTCATAATAACTCCCATAAACAAGCAAACCACAAAAATCATCAGCAGCCCCACAAACACAATAAAACACCAAAATCTAAGGTAAAAAAGAGCAAAACCAACCAAGATAAGATTTTGTACGTAAAAGCCAGATTAACTCATCCCATTCTCAACAAAAGCAACCAATAATTGGGTCTTCCTGATAGGCTTCATCAACAACAAAAAAAAGGAAAACAAAGACAAAAACCAAGAACAGAAAATGAAAGGGTCTTAACAAAAGGGTAAGAGTGGGTGGTTGAGATGCACCAAATATCCTTAAAAGCTTTCTCCTTGATTTTCGTGTCCACCAAAACAGGCTCTTGTTTTTTCAACAGTAAATCTGAGAAAACAAAACCATTTGTTTGTTTCTCTTTACAAGTATACAAATCTAAAGGGTAACAAGAGTCAAAGATTTGAAAAGGGTCACAATCAAATCATGTAAATCCTCATAATTTCATAATAATTTAAACTTATAATTGATACAACCCCCCTTATAGCTTACTGATTTTTGTGACACATACACATGTTTGTGTACAAATAGAAAAAAATTGAAAAAAATATACTAAAAAAGATTGGATTTTTTTGAAAGGCTATTGTGAATTTTGTACAACACACCATTTTTTGTGGAAATTCTGTCTTAGAGGATGACCATTAATGGTGGACTTTGAAGTCTGAAGCTGTATTGGCTTTTTCTACTGAGGGGGTGGGGTGGGGGGGTGTTGGGGGTGGGGTCAGCTTTTGTTTTCTTGATTTTCTCGCAAAAAAAGGGAAAAAAAAGGTGGCATTTCGCGTACGCAACGTTTGAAATTTTTTTATTATTACCATATGATTCTTTTTAGGAAAAAGTACAATGATATTCGGATCAGTTTACACGATAAATTAATTATATAAATATTGATATTAATATTAATATTGAATAACTTTGATATTATTTATATACTCGTAATAAATATTTGGATAACTTTTTTTTTTATCAAAACTTGAAAACACATATCGAATAACATTTACTTTTTATAAATATAAAATACTGAGTAATTTTTTTCATTAAGATTCAGATTGATGAATAAAAAATTGTTTTAAGTATCTTTATGTCGTTGAAATTTAAACATAATATCTCGTATATGAATACGATACATATAAAATATTCTTTATATATATTCACGTTAAATTATTACATTTCGACTATTTTATTATATTTATTATTGAATTATCATATGATTATCAATTGAACTATGTTTGTCAAAACTTAAGCAGATGAGCATAAATTGTCAATTATTTTCATTTATTATAATTTAATTAATTAAATTGAATAATTAATTTAAATAACATCCCACATAATCTTTTAAATTAAAAATAATCATCAAATATATAATATATATATAAACTAAATACGATAATACATATATAACTTATTAATATCCGCTAGAAAAATAATAAGTGAATCAAACGATCTATATAGATAAAAAAATATATATTTAAATTCATAATATGAAATTTATTAACTACCAAATTAATCATATTATTCTGCTATTGATTTATCTTTAAAATTGATTTTCATGTTATAATATTATATATATATATATATATATACATATATATAAAAAAAAAAATTGTGGTGGACATTGTGTACAAGCAATGAAGCCATGTGGAAGCTGAAATCAATCAGCAATTATTAAAAAAAAATTATGGAAAATTAAATCACTTTTGAACTTTGAAGTTTGGCCATGCAAATTTTCTTCTTAAAATATTTGTTTAGTTAACTTTTTTTCTAACTATTTAAAAATGTTCCTTTTTCTTTTTTTTTTAAATAAAACATTGAAGTACTTTTCTAAGTTAAAAATTATAATAGTAATAAAAGAAGAATTAATTATTTAATATATTTTTATTATATTATATGTATATATATAATAAAAAAATTATTCAGTGAAATTTCATGAATTAAGACCTAGGAAAATATGATATACGCAAATCTTATTACTACCTTATAGAGATGAATTCTATTTATATATAGGTAAAAGAAAATTTTAGAAAAGAAAATCTAAAAAAGGCAAAAAACAATTAATCAAGTACATAAATTTCTGTGCATTTTTTTTTAAAACCTTTTTTTGTCAAATTTAAAAATTAATGTCATAAGCCTAGAGGAATTAATTTTTTTAACTATATAGTCATGGCCTATTTTTATTTTTATTATTTTTTTTCAAATTTGTGAACCCCACATGATCTATTCTTTCTAACAAATTTATTACTTTAGTCAGAGGGACCATATGCCATGTCTGTGGTATTTAATGCTATATTTAAAATTAATTATTGGATCAATGATGTATCAAAAATAATTATTTTATATTCATAAAAAAAATTATTATGTACACACTATTTTTTTCCCCAAATTTTACTTATAAATATTAGATATGTTATTGTTATTAAATATATATATCATTAAGTACTTTGTATTAGGGTTAGGTTTGAAGGGGGGGAAGATAGGGTTTAAAATGTAATTACAAAATTTAAATTATAGTTAAACGTAATCGATAATTCTCTTATGATTATATTAAATATAATATAAGAAATGAAATATAAAATTATTAGAAATATAAAAAAAATGTACATGCAGGCTATAGTAGATATATTACGGTAAAATTAACATCGTACACACATTTAAGAGGAAAAATATCAAGTTATAATTATATTCTTTAAAAATAAACTACTTATAACATATTATTATCATCTTATAACACATCAATTAATAATATATTAATTTTAAAAAATATTTAAAAATAAACTATTTATAGCATATTAACTAATAATATATTAATAAAAAATTATTTTATTATTTAACTAATAATTATTATGTTTAAATAATTAGTTTCATTTATTTATTTACTTTTTATCAACAAAACCTTTTAAATCATTACTTATTAATCAATTACTTTTTAAAACTTTTAATATAAATAATAAATTATTAAATATTAATCAATTATCTTTTAATGTTTTTAATATAAATAATAAATTAAATGGTAAAGTATCTTTTGCAAACCGTAACTTGATCAAAATAGATTGTTACTGAAAACTTCATGAAGTAATCATATAATTTCATGATAAAAACCTTCATATGTAACGTCTTGTTATATACTTATAACAATATTTCGATATTTAAATCTTAAATAACTCTTATAAAAGTAAATGTGAAAAAAATTAAAAAATTATATTCAACGCTAAAAAAATGAAATTTTTATCTTATACAATCACGTGATACTCTATTCAGAACAACGATACGTATATATATTTCTTAGTAATAACACTAGGGTTTGAAATAACCAAATATTAAAACAAACTATTTAAGTGCAGTTAGATGCACTAAACAATTATTATATCGAGAGTTTAAGAAAGAAATAACTATTATCATACGTGATTTTATCTATTTTTTACAAAGAGATTATTTTTATGACTCTATTTTTAAAAAAAGAAATATACTTAATCTAGAAAAAAAAAATATCTAAAATAATTTAAATATTACATTTATTTTTATTGAAATACGAATCTTGACGTAACTGATAAATTAAAAACCTAAACTTTCACCTGTCTATAAAAGCTATACTATCCTACTAGGATTATAGGTAGTGAGGTGGCGACTGTTACCGCCGCCGGCTGCGGCATCTCTGCCACCCAATTCCGCCGTCATCGACGTTTGTGCCACGGCGGTGGTTTCATCTATAGCTTTGTACACTGAAAAATTACTGATTTTGAATTTTCGATGATACCCAGATGGAAGAAACATAGCAAAGAATGGTTTTTGTGGATCAGATCTGTATTCATCAAATGATGGTATGAGCTCTTTACAAAGTTTTACTAGTTGTCGTGTTTTTTTTTACTGTCGTTTTGATTGATTTGATGTGATTGAGCTTAGCTTGGAGTGTCGTTTTTTCTTTTCATAACTATTTGATTTGATTGATTTGGTGTACTTGAGCTTAGTTTAGAGATACGTGTAAGATTTGCGTATATTTTATACACAAACTATTTGATTTGGTGTACTTGAGCTTGGAGGTTCGTGTAAGATTTGCGTATACTTTCTACGCATTGGACCCGTTGTGTGATTCTATTGGATATGTTGTTGTTGTTGTTGTTAATTAGGGATTTTTTAGTTTGTGCATTTTGTACTATGATTTTTTGTTTTTTTAGTTGGTTCTGAATAAATTATTTATATATACTGAATGAATTTTTTTCGACACTAATATGGAATTTGAACTAAAAGTATACTAGGTTTTGATATTCTTATTAGCTGATGTGTGGGTAAGGTTTGCGTTAACTCTATACAGACCCCATTTGTGCGAGTTCATTGGATATGTTGTTGTTGCGTGGACTCTATGCTCATCGGACCCCATTTGTGTGAGTTCATTGGGTATGTTGTTGTTACACGAGGCAGAATCAGAACTCATTTAAGCATGGTTCATAGTGTTTGAAACATTATGGAGATGTTTAATTATCTTGAGATATGCTTTGGTTGTTTGTGCAAAACTTTGAAGTTTCGTCAAATTACATGAACTTTGTTTTGTGTCTCACACAACTGATGTAAGTTGTGTGAGGTCTCTTTTTGTTTTACAAGTCAGTGCGACCCAAATCGTTGGACTCACCAACTCGTGAAATAAAAAGAAGTCTCACGCAACTTGCGTTAATTCTGTGAGTCGCAAAGTAAATTTTCAAATCCTCTCTTCATATATTTCTTGCACATTCCAACTATTCTACTTATAAGATCATAAGAAACTGAGACTTCCAAAATATGTGTTCTTAACACTAATTTGAGTCCCTTTTCTAATTTAAAAAAAGGGCAAATAGCAATTTTGGCCTCAATGTTGTAGGTTTATTTCAATTTGGTCCTTGTTTAATTTAACTAAGCATAATTAATTGTCAATTAATATGAAATGCTTAGTTGAATTATATAAGGGCCAAAATCGGAATAAACATATAATATAAGGACTAAAACTGCTATTTGCCCATTTAAAAAAGACCAACAAGTCTTTTTCAATTTAAGGACCCTAAAAACTACACTATTTCTGGTTCAATTTGTTTGCCCTACTTTACTTTTAAAGTAAAGTAAAGTGAGACGAACAAATTGAATCAGAGAGAGTATAGTTTTTAGTTCGGTTCAAAAAAAGTATCTCCTTCCTTTTTGACAACTATTATGTTCCAACTTTCCACGTGACATGTTTAAAACCACACAATTAAAGGGTATTTTTGGCATTTGATGTATCTCTATCTGATGACCATAAGTTTCTGAAGTCATCTTTACTTAACTCTATCTCAAGTTAAAATAGGTCAAACAAATTGAAATAGAGTGAGTATTATATATTAAGAAAAAGCAATGGTATGGTTTATAAGGAACCGGTAAGGCGATAACAACCATTATATAAGCTTAATAGACTAAAATTGTTGTTATTAATTTAATCATTATGTTATGTTCTCCAAAGTTTATGAATAATTTCTGAATTGGTACTTGACTAGATGTCATTGATCTCTGTTTGCAGTGCTTTACTTGCCTTACATGTTACTTTCCATACTACAAAACTAGATTGAAGAAGAATAAGATGTTATAGTGGAGTGGAGCTTTTGATTTATTTGAATATATTTAGTAGGTATTTTCCATGTTAAGAATCTCGAAGCCAATCGATTGAAGACTAGTGCTCGAAAAAGTTATGACGTTGCTGGATGGAATCAGAAGATAAAAACTTATTGTTCGTTTGAAGGAAATGGCACTATGCCTCTCCCTAAAATGTTTAATAGATTGTACGACCAGGGCATGTGGAAGACGAGCTGCTTTCTTATATCACAATGATCAGTCTTCGGAAATTGATGATATAGTGGTTTGGAAGACGAGGCAAAAAAAGCTTACGAAGCAACCTAGTTGAATGTTCAAATCAATTGACCACTTTGATTTGGTAATACAACTATAGCCAAGACAATGCTTCATTATAAGTGCATAACTTTTCACTTTATTGTTTGAGCATTGTGTTGATTTCTCTAAACTTGTTTTTCGTTGAACAAGATTGTTTTTTCATATACTCATGGAAAGCAACACCGTGCTCAGAAGTTAGAGTGAAATGTTATGCATTTGTGATTATATATTTTCTTGGCTAGAGTTGTATTGCCAAGTGAAGTGTTTTAATTGATTTGAACCTTCGAGTGAGTTGCTTCGTGATCTTCTTATGCCTTAGCTTCAGAACTTACCACTATATCATCAATTCTCGAAGAGTGTGGCCTACCTGAATGCTCTCACTAAACTATTCAGACTGTTGTAAATCTCTACTGTTGAGGCTTTATTTTTGGCAGTTCTTAAATGTGTATCTTAAGTTTTGTAATTAATTTATGTTTGTTTAGTATATCTCTGTTGTTACCCCTTTGTAATCTTTTGGATTCAATGATGAAGTTGGTTTGGAAATATTGTAGGATTTGTTGAAAAAGATTGGCATTTGTGGATGGCTTTGAGAGTTTAACACCCCAACTATGAGATATTCTTTTCTATTTTCTTTTACCTAAACTCTCATCATCTGTTGGTATAATTAACTTCGATGTGTGTTTAATGGTATAATTAACTTCGATTTCTTTTCTATTTTCTTTTACCTAAACTCTCATCATCTGTTGATATAATTAACTTCGATGTGTGTTTATTACATAGACAGTGAAAGTTAGGGTATGAAACTCGAAAAAAAGAAGTGATAGTTACATGTTTTGACAATCAACTCATAGAAGAGCTATATCTAACTGAAGATCTTTTTTTTTGGGACATTTTTTTGGTTATGGACATTTACATCACTAGTTTTATTGTTGTAGCTGATTTCATAAGTTAATTTAAGGGAATGTATTGGATTAAAGTTTAAACTTCAATCTAGTTTCACTAGTACAGAAAGAATTTTTGTTTTGCGCAATCATAGCGCAAGTATCCTTGATGATTATTTTTTTTATGACAAGGGAAACCCACAACCGCTACCCTTTGGGTGCGCCCAGGATAAAACCTACGCTCCTATAAAATAGCTCGAAAACCATATAGGAGAGAGCGCTGGCAAGGGGTTTCCAACTCGAGACCTCCAACATGGAAGTCTCAAGCTCAAACCACTAACGCCACCCCGGAAGGGTCTTCATGATTTTTGGTCATGTATGAAAATGGGATACTCAATAGCTAGAGGCAAAAGATTCATATGAGAAAACATAAGCAAACAGGCATTTACTTGAGCCTCCGAGGATAAAGGTACATGAACAATTGTTTAATCTACCCTTAGAAACTATTGGATTTAAACAAAAAAGAACCCATGATTAAGATACTAATCTGGATACCCTTATAATCTACATTCATAAGTTAGAGTTTGGTTTCAGAGGTTGCAAAAATATATCCATTTTCATATACTTAAATGTACATGAGCACCAAACTAGCAACTAGCAAGCCAGATTTGTTAACCTGAACTCTTCAGACGGACAGAGCGTCGAGTCAGCCTTGTACTTTGAGATGATTCAGGCTCAACAGTATCAGAGTCAATAGCTGCACGGGTCCTAGGCCTTTTTCTCGTTGAGGGTTCACGAGGCTGCTGACTCTCAGGAGGCAAAGATGCATCCTCTTCTTCATCTACAGCTTCTACTTTTGCAATGTTGTAATGCCATCTTGTCCCACAACCGGGACAAACTTTCTCAGCCTGCAAATTATGGTTTCAACAAGAATTTAGTTCATCAATCGCCTGCATAGATGAGAGTGTTCATCATCAACTTTACAGTGTTTTCCCTTTGAAATATAACATGATTGGTTGGATAGTTGGATTAGCTCACTTTTATCTAGCTTATATATATGTTCAATTATACGGCTTTCTTGATTGCCTATACGTCGGGCAAATTTAGTTAATAACATCTATAATGTGCAAATCCAGAATAATCTCATCTCTTGTGACTAAGAGGGGGTTCACATTCTTCTGTTTATAAGTCTAGGATTAAACAAGTATCATGGACACTAATACGAATGCAACTATTATGGTAGAGGATTCAACATCAAAAGATTGGAAAACATATATATAATTAAATTCGTTGATGCTAAAAAGAAAAGGGCAAGATTCAGTCATTGAGTGACAAATGGGAAATTTATGGAAAGTTACACTAGGAGAGAAGAATACCTTGCTTTTGGAGAACTTCATTCTCAGACAGTACATATGCATACGAACATTACAGCCTTCATTTTTGCAAAGCTCAGCCTGGTCAAATAATCATACCACCATGAGTATAGGATGACTTAGCAGCCATATAGTTTATCATAGACACATAAACATCTTTCTGATGTTTGCAGTGACATTATCAAACCAAAGCACAGTATATAGGAAGACCATGTGAGTTTACAGCTAAAAAGTTATCCAATTTTAAAGGCAAAATTCTTACTATAGTGAACATGGAGTTAAAGAGAAGAATAGACCTTCACAGCAGCTTCATTGCAAACTTCACATGCTGGAACCTCATTACTGCGAAACCAACTTCTGAGATCAAGGAACGAACGAACTCCTAGTCCTATCTTACCATCTGTTAGAGAAAGCCAGCGGTCCCTCGCAAGTTCCTCAAGGGTCCTCTCCTTTTGAGACATTGAAAAATTTCTAAACGCTGCAGGAATATGACCTCTCTGAGACTGGGATTCTGTTCCAGCTAGAAACTGTTGACCGAAGCAAAGTAATTATAATTACAACTCTGATCTAACAACAAGCAAATTTACAAAGTTTATACAGATCTTTTTTAATCCAGAACCACATCCACCATTTATCGTTAAGAAGTAAGAAACCTGATTTTCGAGCCGTATGTTCAGTGCATCAATGGTCGATATAAATCCCTGAGCTGCTGCGTCTTGAACAATTGCTTCAATCTGCACTTAAACAGTAACCATATAAATCTCATTAAAAAATTTATGTCAGGAAATGATCTTCATATATTCATATTATTTTTCTTTAAGAAACACTAACCAGTCTAAGCTAAGGACATAATATAAGTAAAACTTGGTAATTTTGTACAGATACATTAAGCCCAACGTTTTCAGGATCCTTTTTATTCTCATTAGGAAATTCTATGTAACTGTTGGAATAAGAGTGGAATTATGAGAACCTTCAATTGTAGAGACCCCAAGTTACCTCAAAGTATGCAATTTACTCAATAATTGAATGAAATGGGCCTGAATAGAGAAGAACGCACAGATGAATGGAAAATTCATATAGTAAATCCCAACTAGTTGAGGACTGAGACTTAGTCGATTAGAGAAAACATCAATTACTGAAACCAACAAATTTCAATTATTTGACTCTCCCCTTTACAACAGTAAGTGAGTTTAAATTCGTAGTACAAAAGGGAAGCAAACAATTCGTTCTCCCAAAAAAAAAAAAAAAGCAAGCAAGATTAGAAAGAAGTGAAAAAAGCCTACCAAATCTTTTCCCCTAACCACATTTTGAGCTAATATGAAATAGATCGACCAACTTCAACTTTTGATTTAAAATGGGACTCCTGAATATTATTTTGTATAAAACTAGATTGCATAAGTCAGCTCCAAAATACTCTAATTTAACTGAACTTAGTGGTTATGCTTTCTATTACCTGTGTTCTTTTCTTCAAATATTGTATTATTTGTGTTGCTACTGTTCTTTTCTCCATTATTTTCAGCACTTATTCACTACTATATTTACTTTTCATACTTAGATTTTGATATGCTTTACTTGAGCCGAGGATCTAGTGGAAACAACCTATCTACCTCTACAAGGTAGGGGTAAGGTTGTGTACACACCATCCTCTCCTGATCCCACTTGTGGGATTACACCAGGTATGTTGTTGTTAGTACTAATCCTAGAAGATGGATGATCATGTTTGTACTATAACTTGAACAGCATCAGCTGCTCTATTCCCATATCAAATTCATTACATAAGTTGCAAGTTTATACGCAATTCATTACTATGAAGATTAAGCATGAAGTTTTATGTTTTAGAGGACTAATAGCATGTAGATCTTCTTTCAAGCTCAGACTAGGAAAGGAAGAAGAGTAAACAGTTTTTGCTCCTTTCTGTGGAACTGCCAGCTAAGATATGCAGCAATGTCATCGTTGAGTTGAGGTAAGGAGGCAAAAGAAAAGTAGCATTCAGCAGTTCTGTTTAATGCAACCTTATTAGTTCTTGTTCTCTATTCCATAGACTAATGAAGATTTTCATTTTACATCCTATTCCCTCTCACAAAGCAAGACAAAAGAATATGAAGATACTTCCTCATATGGACACAGGATGGCTATATAACAACTACGGACATTCTCGACACAGTTCAAAAGAAAGGGAGGAAAAACTCACAATGCCTTTATAGAAAGCTATCTGGGGAACTGAATATTTAGTACCAAGTTTGGATGACTCATCTGAAACATTGTTCACAACACCATAATGCACATGTCCGTCATACTGGTTTCTACATGCCCGTAGCTCTAACTGCACATAAGCGAGCTCTCCGTTTATCTTTCTCAGGTATTCATTGAATAGTGACTGATGATTACCTGAATTATAGACATAAATTAGTTTCAGAAACAAATATGTTTTCACACAGATACCAAACAATATTTTATTTATTTAGTCCAGTCAAATTTTAACATGCTAATTAGAAAACTAAACAGACAATCACATGATGATACTTGTATCCAAAGAAAAGAACAAAAATTCCAAATCAGAATCATTAAACACTTGATTCCTGCCTTACGAGTTACGAACCAAACGGGAAACGGAAAACTAACTAAAGCTCAAAAAGGATTTGCCTTTCCTCCAAAACACAGAGCAATTATCCCTATTGATTCACCAAAACATACAAATAAACGAATTTTCGAGAACAAACAATATGTATCCATTAAGCTAAAACTTTCAGTAATCAATCCATAGTTATAATTTCTTTCATAATAAGCCAGATTTACTCAGCTCAACCCTTCTCCACAAACAACAAGCCATAATTCCTCCTCCTTTCTTCGAGAATAGCCCACGAGATAGTTAAATCTTATGCTAGAAAACAAACATATCAAAGTAAAAATCCAACAACACAAAGACGAAAATGATTAAACATGTAAATGGTCCTTGAAAATGATACTGTAATCCCCAATCCCCAAATATCTAAACAAAAACTCAACAACAACACAAATACTAAAACCAAAATTCCACAACTAAGTTAAAAAAAATCCAATGCAATGATCAGAATAAACTAAACTAGCACTTGGGTACTTGGAACTAAACTCAAAACACCGAAAAACAATCAATCTAATACGCGAAAAAAAAAATCAAAAAAAACCACAAAAACCTGAGGATTTGTCGATGATTCTGGTGAATATAGATTGAAAATCCTTCTCTTTAAGCGGACCACGAGAGAGTAGAGCTTGAATTAGTGTATGGTGCCTCCATGAAAGTGTCGCCATTGAAATTCAAATTCGAATTTGCACTGAAGAAAGTGAAATTCTGCAAAACCCTTAAAATTAAAGAAGAAAAATAATGGTGGCGGGAAAAAGAAACCTTCTTATATATGGATTTGGGCCTTATATCTATAGGCTTTTTTTGGGCCACTTTTCGTGAGTTTTCGAAATTATCATTTGTGTTAGATTTTGATCTTCGAATACATGTATATGACGTGTTTAGATATATCGAGTCAAAGTTAAGTATATTTTTTTGCTAGATGTTGTGTACAAGTAGATTATTGAGTCTCTCGCTCACCTCTCTCCCATATGTTATCTGTATTTCAAAATGTATCTTGCATCTCAGATACAGGTATTTCGTGTTACTCGTGGACTCTCTCGTTTGTATCCATTCTATCTCACTCTAGCCTCTCGCGCTACGTATCTTTATTTTACCGTGTATATGGCAACAAAAAATACGTATATCTAATATTTGATTTGAAATTTGATATAAAATTATTAATTAGTGAGAAAATCTATAATTATTACAATTTCAAACTATATAAATATATCTATATACCTTGTTGATACAATAGTATATATATGTGTGCATGTATATATTGCACGACGATTTGTTTAATCCCAACCAACTCAAATCTCTCATAAACATTTCAATATTTATATATGAGCTTCTTTCTATGTTTCGAATCTTATAATATATTATTCACTTGAAATACTTTAAAATTACCACATATCGATTTTTAAAGTCGAGCTTTCAACATTGAAGAAGAAAGAAGAGAGAAATAATGCCGAAGGGATCTGTATGGCAAATTAGGTGTTAAAGTGATAGTTATAAAGAATCCATAGTTGATTTTGGGTTATAATTATCATTGAATGGCCATTTTGATTAATTTTCCCTTATTTAAGATGTATAAAAAATATATGAATAAAATACTTCATAACTATTTTAAATTGGAAAAAAACCATTTATCTAAAATTTAAAATTTCATAAATGTGAATATGACAATTATACGAGATAAGGTGAGAGTGACTTTGATGACTATTAAAATAAGAAATAAAGAACGTGCACGGATGCATCAATAAGGAGGTATGAGAGGTTGCCTAAAGAAGAATAAGTGAGGGGGGGGGGGGGGGGGGGGGGGGGGGGGGGGGGTGAAGGTGAATAGATATATCATGTATTTCCGCAAGTGTAATCTGATCCTTGTAAAGATAGAGATATTGTTTCCGATAGACCATCGGCACAGATAAAGCATATCAAAACCACAACACAAATGAACTATATAACTTTGCAAGTTAAAAGAAATTGTGAAACCAAATATTCTTTTGGAGGCCAAAAGAGTGCATTTGAATAAGAACACAACAAGGACTACACCACAATCCCAAAGCAAGTTGGGATCGACTATTTGAATCCTCACTACACAAGAAAATCGAGAGCTAACAAATCCCTTCTTTACGACTAGTAAATAAATTATGATTCATAGAGTCAACTCGTTTCTCAGGGGACATCCGATATAATTGGAACAAGGTGAACTATTGTTACATTTGTTGTGCTAATGCATCAGAAAGAATCATCAGAACTTCCCTCTCCAGTATAAGGAAGAGTGAACTGACATTATCACCCGAAAACTCGAAAGAATATGTTAAAATGAAACTTTGCACATTTGGTACAGCAGGAGCAAAGGCAGAGGATACTTTGCAATTTTGGACTGTTAAGAATATATCGCGTATCAGCTACTGAGGTTGAATCATGTATATCTTTATTTCGACAGTTTAAGACCTGCAAAAGTACTCGTTCCGTTATAGATTCCATTGAAAACAGCAACAACAACAATGCCTCGACCCCAAACAAGTTGGAGTGGGCTATATGAATCCTCATTGATGAGATCGTTCCATTCAACCTAATCTCACACGAATATTATACAAAATAGAAATAAAAGGTACTACTACAAGTTTGCTGTATTTTGTACTGGTGTATAAATCTCTGATGCTCAGACTCATTAAAACGAAGTTGACCAGTGCGTGCCGAATCCTCCAAAAGTAGTGCAGTTTTAGAGGATTCGTCTACGGCAGCATTTTTGGAAAGTCTGAGCAACATAGATTAGAATTCACCCTTTGAACCTGAACTAGGTACATGGATCCATTTCAACTGAAGTACAAGTAGTTCTGGGGAGGCTGCGTGTATGCAGACCTGAATTTGGTGAGCTAGGAGGCTGTTTCTGATACACTTGGCTCAATAAAATAGTTTTTGGGGATTTCAACTACACTAGGAACAAATAATAGGTTCAAAATTCAATAGAAAGTTGGAACAAAATACCCGATTAAGCAAAGTTACAAAATCGCCAATCTTCTTTTGACAAGTCAAGGTGCTCAGTACTACCGTCTTCAAACATGATCTGTTAGGGCGGGTGGGGAATGAGAACAAGAGTAAATCTTCAGCCAAATCATGGGTGTCCGAGTTACACACTAAACAATTCAAAAACTTCCTTACCAAATGTTTTTTGGTGATTCTGTCAAACTGTTTTATGATTCCAAAGGAACTGGAAACATCAGGTATTCGTGACTCCAGTGAATCAACAGGACTGAAAAGTGTAACAACATGAACAAATACATGAGAAGAAACCGAATAATAAATGTCCAACAAATGGATAGAGTTCCCAGAGAGAAATTTCACCAGGAAGTCAACAGGACTGAAGAATGTAAAAATATGAACAAATAAATGAGAAGAAACGAACGACCAGCCAATTAATAGAGTATCCAACAGAGAAACTTGCTAGCTTCTACGTTTAATAGATATTTCTTTAAAAATTAAGTTAACAAGATTGACATCACTTTCATACTTGGTTACCACACGCATATAAAGTTAGTAGACAATTCCTAATGCAAAGAATGTTTAGTACGAACCTGAGGATTAGATAAGAAAAAGTTACAAAGAGAACTTAAAAAAGAGATGCTATGTGAAAAGAAACCATGGAGACCACATGTGAAACAAATTTCTAATTACTCTATGAATAGAAATAAATAGAAGGTTTCGTGAAAATATCTCAGCATATAAAATTGAAATCTGAGGTTTGAATAAACTTCCTAGAGAACTAAGAAATACTTCAAAGTTAAAAGAAAAAGCTAAACATTATGAAAGTGGAAGCTAAAATACTATACTCCAACCGCCAAAGCTCAAATTTAGGCTACATATATTAGATGTCTAAGTGATTTGATTCCTTTCTAAATGCACTTTCTCAGGCATATGTACACAGACAGATGATTTATGACTAGAATGGAGAAAAACTGGAGCATGTATGGAAGCTCGCAATCTTTCTCCCTTTCCTAATAGACAGAACAGCATTAGGTGACCAAAAGGAAATATCTTTTACTCAGACATGGCCAAAACTTATATAACTGTCTCTAGCTATAATGCATTATCTGTTCTGCACATAAAACATAAGTTCAATCTATAGAACTATTCTAGTTCAAGATTTTGTGTACTTAATTACACTACAGAAACGGTCATGGGATCAAAATATACAAGTTTTGAACCTCAATCTATAAACTTTTAAAAGATCCTATTATTATTGTTTATTTTTAAAACAAGACTCCAAGATTACTGAAAGTGAAACCATAAGATAGTAGTAATAGAAAACAACAATAAAGATAACATATATATTAAATATAATTGGTAACTCAATCACAAATTTTTCATAGAACAAGAACTTGCTGATTTTCCATTACTTGCCAATGGAAAATGCAAGAGTGCCTATGTTAACAAAAAGAATATGCACCCGTACAGACCGACATACCTCTGGTCAGAATAGCGAATTATTCTTATAATTTGACCTGTGCAATTCCGAGGATGCTGGATTTTCCGAGCAGAGTCAGAACTCCAATTTCCTAAACAGGATGAGGCCCGAGTTAGATCAAAGAAAAGGTAACTTCACTAACAAAGATATACTTGTAGGTCAAATGAATGCATAACCTACCTTTTGGGGGAACTTCAGTTTGAGAATCCTGGAATATAAGTGAAGAAAAGGTTAGCATTACATTAGTACAATATCGGGAGAAATAGATATTTTAGTAAAAGAATCTGAAGGATACTAGAAGAGCTTTTGATGCCTCTTTGAGAAACAAAATGTATGCAACTCATTAATCTGTATCCATCAATGGAAACAAAGGTAGTAAAATGGGAGAACTATGAAGAAAATAAGCAGAAGAGGAAACAAATCTATAACTTGGCCTTGGAAGGAAGTGCAAACGAGATGAGGAACTTGTTCGTTTAAATAAATATAAACTTAAGTGGGGAAAATATTCTCAGTGTTATCCTATCAAACAAGTAAATGGGCATGAGGGAGAATAATTTCCTCATCTTTTCTCTTATTTTCCTCTTAGCACATATCAAAGTTTTCTGTCTTCACTTCTTATGAGAATTAAACAAGGAAAAAGAATTTCAAACCATCTCTTCCTTAATAACATCATTTTGCAAAGAAGATATAGAGGAGGAAACAAATCCAAGAAAAGAAAGAATAACAAGAAAACAAATCAGGAAAAAAGAAGAAACAGTTAGCCTTACTCAAATCTAGAGTGCTTTGCAACTCCTTTAAAATATCCACATGTAAATACATTTACGAAGCAAGAACCAAAACAGATTACGACAAACATTATTGACACCACTCTTATCAATTTCAGGCAACAGCTGGCTAGTGGCTAGTTAGATTAGAGTTCAAACATTGCAAAATGCCAAAACCATGTCCTAATTAGTGAAAAAACATATTTTTAAACCCGCCTAAGATATAAGAATGATCTCCCTATATCATCCCAGACTGGTGAAATTGAGACAGGCATCTAACACTCTTAACTCAGGCTCATAAATCTGGGAATACCATGGGGTTGGTCCCTACCCAACACAAACAATGAGGTCAGTCATCCAACTAGTCATGAACGATTCGCCAACTATGTTCATCTTACTAGAAACCATAACAGGATATGAACCTATAACATACTTAATGTACCAATTACCATTGTGCAATCTTCTCACTTTTACCTCAGAAAAAGTAGGTCTGTTTCAGCTTCACATATATTACTCATGATCCTCGTGTTGCCTTTCTTTAAGCTCTAGTCCACATAGAGTTTGAAATTGTTGTGTGTTTTTCTACAAACATATAAATACAGTTCATGGTAAACAAATGAACACATAAAACCTCATAAATGGGCTATCTTATAATATTTCTCTTATTTTCCATCTTTACTTTCCAACAAATTCAAGAAGTTCCATCGTCAAAACAAATTTTGTCATTATGGTATAGGAAAGTGATCTTCAAAGTTCCTTTCCAGGGAAAAGCAGCAGGTCTTCAACAGGTTGGCCCCGGCCCAATCAGAAAAAGGAATGGACACACTACTTTTAGACAGTAATTCCAAGTACCTGTCATCTTTATGTCTTCCTCTGACAAAATTCAGAAAGGAACAGAAAGATGTTGGCTCAATAAAACTGAAGTCTAATCTGCAATCAGTTTCATCTTCGCAAATCACCACAACAAAATTATGGACAAGTATTAACAAACTGAGTCATAAAACTAAACGGTAAACGTCCAAGCAAAAGAATGATTCCAGATGACACACACTGCTCTTGTATCTTAGATGTTAACAGACAGAATAGAGGTACATACATGTTTTGCCGATAGCAGTACTTTCTCTTTGGGAAAGGGCGCAGCTACCTGGCATGCCACTAGCTTTAGTGCAGCAGCATCTGAAGAAGGAAGTTTTAGTTTGTTAGGTCTGATTCCCAGCTTTCGCTTGCAATTTATAGCACCACAGTGACAATCTTGATCTGCACCAAATTGAACAAACCTGCTAAACTTGTTAGATGAAGGGCGAATGCACAGTCTTAGATAACAGGCTGCTGACTGAAGACGCTAGGATGACACAAAACAAACAAAACAAAAAAATCAATCAATGTCCATACTGATAATCGTAGGTCAGATGCTCGCCCCTTTTAATGTCACGCGTTGCAAATATGCCAATTCTATTCTCACCATCAATCATCCTGAAAATATGATTGAGCATGAAAACAAATAAATCACACAATAGGTTGATATCCCTTGACACTTGACAGAGGGTTTGAATTTGAGAGAACTAAAAATAATTAGTACATATTAATGACAATTATATACCATCTCTGCATCTCAGTATTTGGACAACAGCTATGATTAATGTATCTGGATTTGTTTCCCTTATAAGTGGCATCAATCACCATATCCCTATTGATCTCACACAAGTAAAAATTTGTTTCCCCACTGTGCTTCAATTTCCAAAGTCGCTCTTCACATGTCTTGTCATCAATAACTGCAGTTGTAACTTACTAAATTAAGAGCTCAGGATGAACAGAACACGAATTATTAGTTCATATTAAGCAAGAAACTTAAAAAACTTCACCTTCTCCAACATACTCTACAACAAACTCTTTTGTCTTGATATCTTCATCTGCCACAATCCCAGTGCCACATTTCTCAGTCTGCACGTTATGAGTCAACAAAACTTTAGTTTTTTAGATGATTATTGCTTGGTTTTCAAAAGAAACGAAAATAAGAAGAATACAAAATAACCAACATTTCTTTACTTCTTCACCAGATACACAACTGAATTAAATGCAAAAATAGATATGAAAAATGTTACCAGCCTGCACTTTTGATGCAGATTGTACTTGTTTGCAATTGAAAAGTGTCGAATGGTCATTTTTGGTAAAAACTGATGAATGTGGTATTTTGAGAAAGGATTTATGACGGTCCTTTTGCTTAATTATCCCTCTTATAAACGTTAGTAAAGGCTAGGTTTTTAAGGAACCCTTTTTGTTGCTGTGATCTTGAAAACGTAAAGAATCTTGATCAAATCACCTATTTGCTTAAAGTAGCTATGTTGTAGCCATTAGCATCCGCTGGATGCAAATTAATGGAAGTCTTCTCACTTTACTTGATATAGAAAATGCAAAAATAATAAGTATGTCCTCTCCTTAAGTTCTTTCTTTTAAAAAGTGAAAGTAGACAAAAGAGTTCCTAAAAAGGATGCAGAGTATTAAAGCACATCTGAAAATTTTAACAGTGCTTTATCAAAGACATTGGTGTCAAAAGTGATTGTCAGTAACCTTGTAATTAGGGTCTTAGATTAAAAGGGTATTGTCTGGTTGGTCAAAGAAATTGGCAGAACAATTTTCCAGATTCAGAATACTGCAGATCTCTAGATCTATAAGCAACTAACTACAGGTTGTGTTAATGACTTTTATTTCAAACTGCAAGCAGATAAACGTAAGCAGATGGGAAGGTAAAGAGTAGAAAAATAGCAACCATCAAAAGGGGAACTTTCAAACTCCATGAAGAAATAAAGACCACAAAGAAGTGAAGAATATTATTGAAACTTATACTAATCCTACCTTCAGTGCTCCACAAAGGTTAGTACACCTCATATGACAAGACATGACATTAAAACCTAGAACTGCTTTCAATAGATCCTATATTGGATCAGTAGAGTTTCTTCACACTAGATGTTTTAGAACACGTAAAGAGGTAGGTAACTTCTATGCTAGATACGAAACCCCACTACAAAGAAAGGTTATAAAAAGGCATCCTTGAAGGTTTTTTAAACTTACCAGACCAGACTTGTTATGAAAAAGATTAAGCATCCTTGAAGGTTCTTTAAACTTACTAGACCAGACCTGTTATGAACAAGACCAAACATAGTTGCCCAAGTTTTCCCTGCCCTCAGGTAGACAAAAATATCTACGTACATAATATTAACTTTCAGTAGACAAAAATATCTATGTACATAACATTAACTTTCTTTCTTGCAAACTATCTTACAGTGAGGTGTATCCTTTACGATATATACCACCGCTGTGCCAAAAGTTTTGTCTAATTTCACTTCCCAAGAGTCAAAAGAAAATAGTACTTCGACTTAAAGTTTTGAAATGTATTTTGCCGCCACAGTTTATATGGGAGAAATTGCAAATGTAAGTGCTTCTGCGCAGTTTTTAAGTATCTAAATTACATTTCAACAGGCAACTAACTTATGTCTGATTTAAGACTAAAATCACTCACTCAATCAGCCAATTTGACCCTACAAAAATGACAATGGTCTATATTTTAAATTGCGCATTTATTTTAAATTGCACATCATGTGTTATAAATTTTTGTTTTCGCTGGCCAAAAATGTGCCAACCCTTGAAGTAATCAACACTTGAAGACTCACTCACACATAATGTTTCACGCAGAAACCTGTAATTATTTAATTAAATTTTCTTATGATCAAACCAACTTGACATATTTGTTGGAGAGTGTACCTCTTAAAAGTGGAAATAAGAAACATCAGGTTCTAATCAAAGTTCCTTGGCATCAGTTGTCAGAAAAATGAAAATTTACATGAGAGAAGAATTGTTTACAAACTCTTGCAAAAGACAAAGAAATGACTGATAATGACAAGGTCATAAATGATGACTACAAGCTGTCAAAATACTGCAATAACTAACATCAGTCCAAATATCTATGTTAAAAGTTTATGTGCATACCTTCACTATTTTCATCTTCTTCACAGGACGTTGATGGAATGGCTTATTCAGACAAGAACTCCCACATTTACATCCCGAGGTGCAGCTAGACCATAGCATGCTGCAGGAAAGAGCAAAGTGGAATAACTAACAACCCGTGACTTTAAAGATGGTTTAAATATCAGAAAAGATGCTGAAAGAAGTATATCTTTTGCGCCTTAGGTGCTACTCCGTCGGAATAAGGTTTGTATATCATTTTTCGGCACATTACCTACGCTCTTGGTTCTCGACATAAACCAGATGGAGTACTTACGAACTCCTACCTGTTGCATTCTAATATATTTTTTACAGTTACAGATCTCCTATTTATTTTTGGGAAACTTTAAAGAGTGATTTGTATGTATAAAAAAAAAAGTTAAGTAAACTAAGAAGAAAAGGAAAAAGCTGCAGGGAAATGTTAATGGTGAATTCATCTTCTTTGTCTTCTTCTTCTCCGTCAATTACTTTCTCGTCATCGCCGGCACAGTTAATGAGTTCCTCCACAAATATGAAGAATTCTTCTCCGTTGGAGATGGAGGTGCTATGGTTGTCGTTTCTTCTTCTCCATGAAACTCCCAATCAACAAATTTATGCAGCAGGTCATACAGATATAATTTCCAAAAAATATATTATAAGTTTCTATCAAAGTTCTGACAGTAATGAATTTTAATCTAAGTCCTCCTTACCTACAAAGGCAATCCATGCCACACACGTCCGAAGATTCTGCCGTTGAACTGCAGGTACAAGATATGCCATCATCTTCTAGCCGCCGCTTACCCTTATTGGTGAGGTATATATCTTCAAGTAGTTAATATCGACACAAATAGAAAAAGAGAAAGGCCAAAAGAAGCTACAGAAAGATAAGAAATAGGTGCATATCAAACAGAACACCATAATCAATTATTTATCAAACAATGTATAGGACTAAGAGATATTTAATAAGGAAACAAACTATCAATATCACGCATCTATAATTCCATGATAACTATTTCTATTGAAGGATACTTCGCCTTATAGAGGTATAGGGATAGGGAGTGGGTTGCCATTTACTCAACCAATCTGGAAGTTCAAAGTCAACGGGATCTCCAATTTTGCTTGTTAATTTGTTGAATACATTCCCAATCCCACCACGGGTAGCACTCTGTACAGGAAAAGAAAACAAAATGCATATTAAGAGGATGTTGAGATCACAAACATAAACACATGCACGCACCATACTCCATAAGAAGAAGCTCATTAACAATCATATAAGAACAAGATATCAGCATTCTCATAGGATTTTTAGCAGACATGTTTCCACCATTACACTACTCAGGCTTTACCCTTGCTAAAACTATAAAATACCAAATTTTAAAATAAAGGAATAGCTCTGCAAAAACAAATAAGAAAACAGAAAATATATAATGGATCCTTCTAATCAGGATATACCAATAAAAGAATAGCTAAGCCAGAAAAAATCAGAAAAGTAGATTAGGGACAATTTGTCTACAACAGCAAATGAGGTGTGCAGCCGCATATAATAGATAGCAACAAGAAAGAGTCTGTGTTTGGTCAGTGGTAAAAAAAATTTTATATACTGTGTTGCAGGCCATCTTGAGTGCACCTCAACAAATTCCATTGGGTACATGCTAATTCCCACCAGCACAGGTAACTACCACCAAGGCTTGGACATATGGGAAGAGATTACCTAGTGTTTTTGCCTCCATTGAAATTCGAACTTGAACCTCCTGGTTCTCAACCCACTTCATTGACCACGGGGTTACGCGTTTAGGTGCGAGCATACTCATACATTACTTCAAAAAGGATCCTTAACCAAAGAATAAGTTTTAAATGATTGACATATCATTTAAAACTAGAGCAGTACTGTTTTTAATGTAGTAAAATATTACTGGGATATCCTATTTTCTTTGCTTTAGATTTCTTAGAGGAGCGTTTTCTTTAGCCTTAGGTGATACCTCCCCCCCCCCCCTTTTAATTAATTAATGAAGCTATTAGTGCCTTATTTAAAATTTTGACATCTTTCGAATAAATAGGACGGAAATAGAAGGCCATGAATAAATATGTGAAATATTCAAGGTCATAACAACCTACCGACACATTTAAAGTGACATTTTACCCCTTTTACCAATCACTTCATGTTTTTGTACCTTCCTTCACTAATTTATCATTTTTCAGACTAAACAAAGATATGTGCAATGAATATGTGTGAAATACAAGGACCGAAAGAATCCACTACTTTAGCTAGCAGGGCATCAATAAGTAAAAGCACACTGTTATCAATTGCTGCATATTATTCAAATTAAAGTAAGATTCACTACATGAGTGAGATATCTCTAACAAGAAATAATAACAAAGAAAAGAGAGATGGAAAAAAAGAAATGCCAAAACCACAAACTTACTAATAGAACTGAAAAGGAGCACAGGCCTTTATCACGAGAAAGCAAAATATTGTCTAGATTCAAGTATGTGGCACCATAATCGACAATGGTACACCAAACAATATAACATCCTTTGCAATAAAACTGGATATGAATATTATGCTGAATAAAGAATATAACATGGAAGAAAATCGATTCTAAACCTTCTTCATAGGTGTAGCAGGCATGGGCTCAATCAAGTAGCAACACTCATTCACTGTAGCCTAGAAGGGAAAAAAATAAATGAATCAGTTAGGAAGCAAAGAAGCCAATACAAAATGTAGAACGAACATAACAAATCTCCTATAGAAAATAAGACTAAAATCCAAGCTTACAAACCAAAGCATATAGTATTAGAGATTGATGTTAAGCATGTTCCTTGACAAACTTGTTTCAATTTATGGACTTGATTCAAAGTGCAAGGGTGAATCTATCTAATGTTCGTCCCGAATATGGACATAGAATCTTCAAAAAAATTAAAATGAATTTGAAACTAACATCAGTCACAATAGTAAACTATTCAAAATATTTAGGAAGTACTTGAAAAGAACCACACTAAAAAAAAATCTTCGACTCTCCAAGTAGTAACTTCGACATATAAGGGGTTGTAATTTGTACCAAATATAAAAAATGTGAGTTCAACGCATCAGAACAAAATGGAAACAAGATAAAAGCATCAAACTTTAGAAGGAAAAAAATGGGGAAGAGCTGCAAATGAAACACATTCCCAATTCTAAATCCAATTAAAACAAAACAGAACACAAAATTTTCAAAATCTTAACAACGGACTCAGATCACTCAACAATATTAGTACAACTCAATAAATTAGCTTTTAACACACAAGTCCTACTCTCAAGCAAAGAGCCAAGAACACTTGTTTCACTTCTAGATCATTAGGAATAGGATTCCTAAAACCTAAAATCAATTGAACAGCATAAAACTTGGTGAATTTCCAAATCCACTTACGAAAACTGGAAAAAAAAATACCACATTTTAACTCTATTAGATACATAAACTAAAATCAGTTGCTTTTGTGGAAAATTTATCCATAAACACTTTTCAGACTCTCAACAACAACAACATACACCGTGAAATCACACAAGTGGACTGTGAGGACGGCAGAGTGTAAGCACACCTTACCAGTACCTCCCCAATGCTATTTGGACTATCAGGAACTAACAATTAGATTGTAACTGATAAGAGTAGCAATTCAAACCAAATCTAGTAAATGTGAGTTCAACACACCAGAATTAAATGTAAACAAGACAAAATAATCAAAATTCACAGAAACAACTAAAAACCCATCTCAAAGAACTGCAAATGAAACACATTCCCAATTCTAAATCCAATTAAACAAAGCAAAATAGAAAAATCCTAAACAACAAACTCGGATCACTCAACAAAATTGGCTTCCCACACTCAGAAAAATCGATAAAACACCACAAAACTTGGCGAATTCCCAACCAACTTCAGAAAACTGAAAAAAAAAACTACATTTTACCCTCAATGGTTTTTACTCACAAAACTAAATGTTACAAGAGAGAACAACTCACAGGAGAAATCGAAAGAAGCAAAAAGGGAGAACACCCAGAACAGATAAAGCATAGAAGTGAAGAACAAACCTTTATCGGCGGGAAATGGTCGTCGTCGCCGGCAATTGCCGGAGAAAAAAAAGGCTCCGAGCAGCAAAAAGCAATAGAGAAGAGAGGGAGGGAGAGAATGCTTCAAAAAAAAAGGTAATATTAATAGGTAAAAAAAAAGATATATAAAATGGTTTTAATTAATTTAATAAATATAAATAGGAAGAAAAAAAGAATATATATAGAGAGGGAGAGAATTATATAATATTCATCTAATTTTTTGATAAAATAATTTTTTATTTTGTCAATTTATTATTTTTATGTGAGAATTTTATAAATTTTATCGCTAAGATTTAATGAAATTGAAAAAAAAAAAGGAAAATTATAGCTCTTTTTGTTTTTATTTACTTTGTTCTTATTTGATTTATCACATCCCTTAAATAATAATAAATAAAGTACTAATTTTACTATATCATTCATAATTATTATTATAGATTATTTAAATTTTTTAAAATTAAATATCTATTTTTAATATAAATATAAATTCAACACAAAGAACACTAAATACATATAAGAATAAATATTAAGAAATACATATATTATTTATATAACGCATATAATTTTACATTAAAAAAGACATTTTAATCGAAAACAAATATATTTGCTCACTAGCTAGATGCATCTTTAAATATAAGTTCCCAACTAAAAATCTTATTTTTAACATTCTTATCAAATCTAACATACATAAATCTTGTTTTTAACATTCTTATCAAATCTAAATATACATAATTTGCTAAATATTTGACAAAATAAAAAAACATATATAATTTTATCAAATTTAGTTAGTATTTGGTTATAGATTTAAAAATTATTTTTTAAAATGAATGTTTGACCAAGAAATTTAATTAGATTTTAAAAATTCATTCTTCAAAAATTATTTTCAACCTTCCAAAAATTGGGTCTTGTACTCACACAATTTTATTTTTAGGGAAACTTTCAAAAATAGCTACACTAATAGACCCCTTTAACTATAATTTGCCTATTTGTGCATCTTAGCTATAATTTAAATAGTTATTATGATTTTGATTTGTATTATTCATCTTTTTTATAAGTAATTATATAAAATCTTATTTAACTATATCTAACTGATCATGTGATAATTAGGGAAAATAAATTTTTAATAAGGTCACTTAGTTTTAATTAGAACAAGTTACTAAAATAGATCTTATTCTCGATGACGAACAAAGTATGTATTGTTTTCATTCCATCAAAGCTTATTTAAGGTCGTCTTTTCGATGACGCACAAAGTATATATTGTTTTCATTGCACCAAAGCTTATTCAGTATTAGAGTGAAAACAAGTGAGTTTTTTTATGGTTTAAACAACGAAAAGATAAGAATAACAATCTATTCATTACGAGTTGTATATACTTATATGTATATGCATTTATTATATTTCTTGATTGCATCTTGTTTATTATATTAAGATCCGAAAAAATGGTTAAAATATGAAGTAGTTGGTTTTTTTTTTTTTGAAAATATTTTGTAGATGTATATAATGTGTATCGAATATCAAATCAAGGTTGTTTATGAGTGATTTTGTCCAAACATATTGTATATAATTCAATAATTTTCGATTACTTGTATTAGTTTGTATATGTTATAGTTTGATTTGTATATTAGATAGATTTTGTACAAGTTGTTGTGATTCTTTGTCTAAACATATTGTATTTTATGAAATTTTTTTTTACTTTTATCAATTCTTTATATGTTACTTTTGATTTGTATATTAGATAAAATTTATACAAGTAGTTATATCTTTTAAGTAAAAACTGTATAATGAGTAATTTTCGATTATTTTTATTAGTTTTGTATTTGTTCATACAATTATATTTGGATACAAATGATATTTGTTAATATACTCAATATAATTGACTTGTATGAATGAATTGAATACAACAATATTAGATACAAATCTATTGTATATGTGATACAATTATTAATCAAATATACAAATCAAATTGTATATCTCTCACCTCTCTCATCTTTCTCACAAAAGTCTTTTTCATTCATCTTCCAATCTCGCTTGCCTCGCTGCTCCTTATTGTAGCTAGTTTTGATACAAAATAATTATGATCATGATACAGTTATCAATCAAATATACAAATATATGTCTCACTTTTCTTCTTTCACTCCCAAATCTCGCCCTCCTCTATCCTCTATCTCGCAATCTCACTCGTCTCCCCCCTCCCCCCCCCCCTTGACATGTATCTACGAATCACAATTAATTCTAAACTATAGTCATTTTTTAAAGTCTTCGCTTATTTAAATGACTAGTTTGAACCAATCAAACTCAATGTATCTGCAATACGATTATCAATTAGATAAACAAATCAATTGTATATCTCCCTCATCTCTCTTCTTTCTCATTCATCTTCCAATCTCGCTAGCCTCTCTGCTTCCTATAGTAGCTAGTTTTGATACAAAACAAATTGTATTCATCATACAATTATCGATCAAATATCTCTTACGTTTCTCCTTTCGTCTCATATCTCTCTCTCAATCTCACTCGCCTCTCTTCCTTTCTAATATATATCTACGAATCACGATTAATTTTTAACTATAGTCATTTTTATACGTTTTCGCTTTATTTAAATAATAACTAAGATTAAACCTACCCAAACTTTAGGGTATCATTTTTGTTGATTTTTCTCAAAGATTATCATTATAAATCTCTCAATCTTTTCCTCAATTCTCTTCTTTCCTCATCCAAAGGCAATTTCGTAAACGCCACTTTCTCCAATGTTTTGACCTCAATACACGCCAAAATTCCCTTCAATTTTCCAATCATTAGTACCCAAAATCCCATCAATTCTCAATCTTTGCTTCAATTATCACAACCCCAGATCAAAATCTTGACAAAATTAGCAAAAATTTGCTAGTTCTATGTTGTTCTACCATGTAAAAAATCCCAAAACTCCATAAATTCACAATCTTTACTGCCATTCTCATAACCCCAGATCAAAATCTTGATAAAATTAGCCAGTTCTATATAGTTGTCTGATGTAAAAATCCATAAATCCCAATCTTTTCTCCAAATCTCACAACCCCAGATAGTATTTTGACAGAAAGTTGCCTGTTTTAGAGTTCTTTGTGTACCATGTGTCATGATTTGAACTATAATCTTTGATGCCTAAGAAAACCCAGTTTAGTATAAGCTCATCTGATTCAGATTCCCCAAGAAAAAATCTTGGTTCTTCTGTTTCTACAGAGCCAGGACCAGGACCAAGCAGTAGTAGTAGTAGCTGTAAGGTTAATAATAAATCATCTGTTTGGTCTGGTTTATTGGTTTCTCCTTTTTCAATATTTGATAGTGAGCCAAAAGGGTGTTTGAAAAAAAGGGAATTTTGTTGTTCAAAGAAGTATAATGGTATTGGTTGGACTAGTGCTGTGAAAAGAATGATAAACAGTGGCTCAATGAGGAGGATTTTTGGGATGGACAAAACTGGGATGCCTAATGGGTCAAAGAGTGATATTTGGCTTTTGGGTGTTTGCTATAAAGTTGTTCAAGATGATGATTCATCCATAGAACCAACTCAAAGTGAAGGTTTTGCTGCTTTTGTTGATGATTTCTCATCTAGAATTCTTGTTACATATCGTAAAGGTGCTTAATGTTGTAGTCTTTCTTTTGCTCTGATAGTTTGATGTGATTATAGTTTGATTTGGTGTGTGGAAGATGTGAATTTGGTTTTATTTGATTGAATGTAATTACAGGTTTTGCTCCTATTGAAGATACTAAGTATACCAGTGATGTTAATTGGGGTTGCATGCTTAGGAGTAGTCAGATGCTTGTTGCTCAGGTTTTTCCACTGTAGCACAACTCCTTTTCTTTCTTGTTGCTCCTGCCATCCCAATTTACGTGGCACCATTTGGCTAAGCACGGATTTTTTAAAAAGAAAAGACGGGTGACATTCTTTTTGGGACAAACTTAAAAGGGAGTGTGCCACATAAATTGGGTTAGAGCGAGTACAAGTACATGTTAGCTAAAATCTGTAAATTCTTGCTTATTTGCCATTTTGTGAATTTCCAATGCTTGCTGTGTCTGGTATAGTGATATTGATGATTCCTGCATGTATATAGGCTCTACTTCTTCATCGATTAGGAAGATCGTGGAGAAAATCTATGGACAAGGTACTTGAAAGTCAAAACACTGCAGTATTTTCAGTTGTTAAAATGCTCAATTTCCAATTTAGAACCACGATAATGCACAATCAGGTTCTCATCTCATATCTCTTATCCAAAAAATGAAAAAAGATCAGGTTCTCATCTTATGTATGTAGTGTTTTAGCATGAAAATTTAGCATGTTATCTCATTGGCAGCCGCTTGAACAAAAGTATGTGGAGATTTTGCACCTCTTTGGTGATTCTGTGGAGTCAGCTTACTCTATCCATAACCTCCTGCAAGCCGGCAAGACTTATGGTCTTTCTCCTGGTTCTTGGGTGGGTCCGTATGCAATGTGCCGCACCTGGGAAACATTAGCACGCTGCAAAAGAGAAGAAACAGGAAATGCAGTCATGTCTCCAGCTATGGCTATCTATGTTGTATCTGGGGATGAAGATGGAGAAAGAGGTGGAGCGCCAGTTCTCTGCGTTGAGGACATTGTCAAGCATTGTTCCGGCTTGGCAAAAGGCGAAGTTGACTGGACACCTGTTCTTTTCTTAGTACCGTTGGTTCTTGGACTTGACAAAATCAATTCGAGGTTAACTTCCATTTATCTTATTTTGTTGATCTACGTTGGATGTTATTATGATGCAAAGCTCTTGCCTGTTCTTGTTATATTATGTCTTTCTGAATTACGGTCATAAATAAATTAAACAAAACTGTGATTGAATTTACTTGTCCGTGGTGTAAAACACAAGGTGATTACTTGGGGATCTATTGCAACTTTAACGCTATAACTACTTTTTCATTGCCTGTTTTGCTCTATTATAATGAACTTGTATGTAAAGAAATTAGAATTGCTACCGACTGTTTCGTGGAGTTAACTGATACCTTGTGGCTGTGTCATCTATTTCCAGGCCTTATAAGGGAAAAATTGATATTCTTTCAATTAATCTCAATAACATCCTGTTAAGTATCTTGCATTGTGATTTAGTAATTTAACCAATGCCACATGGACTTATGGAGATGATTTAACTATGATACACAGACTTGGTTATGGTCATGGGACATTCTGATTCCAAAAGTTGGACTCGGCAATTCTGTTCTTTATTCAGTGTAAAACTCGGTTAAGTTTCCACAGTTTAGTTTTTTCTCTCTACTCGTAGAATGGAAAATTAGATTTTGTACACTGTAGTGCTAGTAATGATCTTTAAAGAATCTTTCATAGAACTTAGTATAGAATGTATTTCACTATTTTACCAAATAAAGAGTCTCCCTTACCGTTTAGGATTTAGATGTCTTGGCAATTGAAAAACTACTCCTTAACCTTGGAGGCTTGGACGATTTTTTAGCACTTCTTGCACATACTTGTCTTGGGGGAATCCGGTATCTTCTTTTCTCGGGCACAAGATTTTCTTGGGGAAACCATGCATCTTCTTTAAGAGGAGTTGTGGTAGGTTACATTGAGTAATACCATGAAGAACAGTAAGCACCAACATAATGAACAAATGAAAACAATTTAATGGGGATCCTGCTTTGGTTTCTCAGAAACAAGACTAATTAAATGTATCAGACTCATTTGAAGACTATCTAGTCAAATTACTTGATCTAACCATTACTTTATTGAAACAAGAATAGATAGAAGACCGACACTACTGCATGTGATTCAAGGTCACAAACTAATATTTCCTAGTTCCTACAATGCAAATTCTACCATTGTTCTATTTCTCGTGGGAACATGAAAGAAGAATGGCACCACCAGAAACTCTGGCACTATAATCTAGCTGAAAGGTGCTCGCGTCTAAAAGTTTAATGACCGCATAATAAATTGTATATTCAAAAGATACTGCAAACCATGGTTGTTATAATTATACCTTTCCAAGTTTGAAAAAACAAAAAGCACTGCTATAGGTTGATCACCAGCGTGATAATGATCTCACTGTGATGTTCTTCACTGTTTAGAGCAGAATGGATACGGGTGATTCATATGGTCGACTCCGACTAATTTGAGATTCAAGCTTAGATGATTCATAGTTGACTCCAACTAGTTTGATTGGTGTTCCATTTATCTTCATGTTGAGTTTAGACACATTTCACCATTGCTAGAAGACCGTATCTGATTAAGATTAAACTTGTGGATTGAGTTGATGTTTGATGGATGATTTCATATTCCTACTGAAAATGCCAGAGCCTTTACTTGATAATTACATTTTTGTTGGTTATCAAAAGAAAAGATTAAAGACTTCCGTGTACTTAACTTTCTTTAACTTCTTCTATGTCAGGTATCTTCCTTTACTGGCAGCTACATTTAGTTTTCCTCAAAGCCTTGGGATCCTAGGTGGCAGACCTGGAGCATCAACCTATATTGTTGGCGTGCAAGATGATAAAGCCGTTTATCTTGACCCACATGAAGTTCAGCCAGTAATTATCTTTCTTTTTGGTTGCATATCTGAGTTATTTTACACATTTCGATGGGATTTCAGTTATTTTCTCATTGCATAAATCTAGGATAAATCGGCAAGCCTTAAAATCAAAGTTTTTATGTTTGGGTGCTATTGCTTGCTTATGAAGGAGAGGTGGGGTGATATGGGCTCCTAGATAACACTTTGATCTGATAAAGCTGATCTTTAATTTTGATTGAATGAAATGTGTATATACAGAGAAACAAAACCTGAAGCCTGAAATGACCATGAAGTGGGGACGAGAAATTACGGTAGTGGTAAGAGCACTCCAGTTCCAAACAAGTGGGTTGGGCGTTCGAGTCACCAAGGGGGGAAGTGAAAAACCATAATTATTTGCCCCTTGTTAAAGGATTTTGGCGTAGGCTTTACCTAATCAAGAAAAGACTTGGAAATGGGAACTGACTGGATTCTGTATATTTGAGCACAGCGTTAAGGACTTCACCAAGAACTACTGACAAAGGAAAACTTTTTAAATTTTATTTTTAGATCTCTTATTGTTTGCTGAAATAATATCCTTCTCTTAAAGCATTTTCTCTATTCCCTCTTAGAAAATAAGCTTATATGAGAATCTCTAAGTAGAATATATTCTGACAGATCTTCACTGCTTTAGAGGACCTTCATAGAATCTAGCAAGGCTACCCAGCTAAAATACTTGCCATATTGCTGTAGCAGGAGAGGAGCTATATAAAAAACAATCACCAAACTACTTTTTCGGTTCTCCTCTTACCAGTGCCTTAAAATTGTGGGCTTTTCCAGTGTTCCGTTTTCTCTAGCCGACATCTCTACGGTAACCACAATCGACATTTAATTAGTATCATCTGACAAGTCTAGTTCAGTGGTCTTGTGCTTTGCGTCCTGTTTAGTCAGTGACACAGCTTTGCTAGTCTCTCCTTCTCCCGGAAATCCTTCTATGTAACTTCACAATTTTCAGTTGCGAAATTCAATATTGTTCAGTGAGTTTCTAATCTTCCTACGTATTCCTTTCAGGATCTTGATCCATCAGTTTCTTCCTGTAGTTTCCTGACACTACCAAAAAGGAAAATAAAAATAAAAATAAAGATATATTGCTCCCTTTATGATCTTTCCCCATAACTTTTCCTTTGAGTCGAGTGGACATGTAGGGATCACTCTCTTAACAAATGAGTATTTTCTTAATTGGTTTTTCAGCTTTCTTACTATTTCGTCTTGTTAACTTTCTTTATGGTGCTTGTGATCTCATTTGTTGTGATTTTAACATGTGAAGTGTTACGGGCTTATCTATTGAAATGGATAGTCTACTGCTTTCATTATCTGTCTAATGAGCCAGTTCTTGATATTATAACTGATATATGTTCTCATATACTGCTTATCAATGAAGTTCCAAAGTTTGAGGTTTTCAATTTTCAAATACAAAAGCTACTTTTTCAAATACTCGCAATTTTCATGGACAAACGCCACCATAATATTTGTGTCATCTGCTTTCATGGATTGTAGGGTGTATTGTTCCTCATTATCTGTCTGGTGTGCAGGTTGTTGATATTAAAATGGATAAGCTAGATGTTGATACTTCATCTTATCACTGCAAGTAAGTGAATTCTCGTTCTAGTTTCTCATCTGATTTTTCCAATTTTTTTTTCTTTTTATCACATCATGGCCTTTTGATTTTGATTGCAGTACTGTAAGGCATTTTCCACTGGATTCAATTGATCCCTCCTTGGCTATCGGATTTTACTGTAGAGATAAAAGTATGTTTCCAGAAACTGCTGCGCTTGTCTTACCATGGCTAAGTCGATTCTTAACCACTAACTTCTGTATGCTCTCTGTAGGTGATTTTGATGATTTCTGTATACGAGCATCTGAGCTAGTAGATCAGTCAAACGGTGCTCCATTGTTTACCATAACTGAGACTCGTAGCTCTGCCACATCAGTTGAGTACAATGACAGGTTGACTAGTGATACTGGAGTCCCGGAACTGGACTCCTTCGATGCTGTAGCCCCCGGTGAATCAGATGGTAGTAGTAGACCTGAAGATGAGTGGCAACTCCTTTGATCTGACGACACAATTCAGGCTCAAAAGTTGTGTAAATAACTACGTAGGTGGTCTACTTGATTGCGTCCGTGGCCTTAATGTGTCATGACTTGTTTGGTGCAGACGATTTCGGGTAAAACTACTGCTGTAAGATAGACATACTTGTGTAGGATTCATCTTTTTTTCTCTACACTTTGATGTTGTCTATAGATTATCCAATTGATTCTTTCTTTCTTTCTTAGTATTCAAATGCAGAAGATTGAATAGTCGTTCCCCTAATCTTCCACTTTCGGTGTGTTCGGTACGGAGGAAAACATTTTCTGTTTTTAATTTTTTCATGTTCGGTTGGTTCAAATATTTGAAATTTGTTTTCTAGATGGACTTATTTTTCCAATTTGTGTGTTGCTGCGCCTTCTTTTCCTGGTCTTTTAAGGTGTTATTCTAACTTCTTGTCTTGACTGAGGAGGGGCTTTGCTTAGTTAGGGTTGCTTCACTTGATTTATGGTGTGTTCGATACGAGGCGGAGCCAAGATTTTTAATAGGGGTTCAAAGTTTGAGAAGTGAACACACGAATTAGTGGAAGGCAGTTCGATATTTATTATACGTACGTAAAAAATAATTTTGACCATGTATAAATAATACTCCCTCCGTTTAAAAAAGAATGACTTTCTTTCTTTTTTAGTCTATTTAAAAAAAAATTCTTTTTTTTGTAACGTTTTAATTTCAGCTTTTTACGTGGCATGTTTAAGGCCGATCATAAGATTAAAGGACAATTTTGTACATTTGACATAACTTCAATTTAGGACCATAAGATTCAAAAGTCTTTTTTATATTTTTAAACTTCATGCGAAGTCAAATCAAGTCATTCTTTATGAAATGGAAGGAGTAATATTTTTCGCTGAGGTAGTTCAGATGAACCCCGTTGTTCGTTACGGAGGAAAATATTTTCATGTTGGTTGGTGAAATACATTTGCGATATGAAAGCAAGATCCTCTAAGAACGAGGAAAAAACTTAGTGAAAATATGGAAAAGAAGTTTCATATTAATTGTGCCCTCTCCGCCCTTCAATACCTTATTTTCACCCCAACCCCTATCCCGTTAACCCTACATGGTACATCCTCGCCGCCCTACACTCTCTACCTTCACTCCCACCTTTTATAGTATTTGTCTGGAACATATGAACGTTTTTAGGATAATGTATTTTGCTTATGTATCGAACGCAAAAATAAATTTAAAAAATCACTTGAGATCTTGACTCGACATGAAAAGTGAATATAACTTTGACAAATCTTTATTTTATTTATATAACAAGAACATACATGAATTTTTACAATTTACACATTCAACCCTCAGTAACATCAATTTTGTCATAATCAATATCTTTTTTTGGAATTGTAATAATTGGCATTGGTTTAATGTAAACTCCAAAACTTTCAAGTTGATTACCACAAATTGTGCCATGAAATCCATTGAGCCAACCATGATCCAATGCATTTATATTAAATTCTGTATCTTCACTTGCCATATAAGTTGGTTTATTTTTTGGAAATGGTCCATATGAATTTTTATTTGTCACAAATGTAATTGTTTTCAAAATTCTATCTAGTCCAAGTACTCCATGTCTACCATTTATTCCAATCAAATATTCTGATGGATAATCCAGCTTGATCTGAAAATTATTAAAAAAATTTGTTAGATAAAAATTAAATGTTTGGGGGTTATTTTGGCATATAGTGATTTTAATGACATAAAAATAGTTTTGTAACGACGTGGAATCTGAGGAGGGTAATAGAATGCACTCACGTTTTACCCTTACACTCGTGGAGCAGATAGACCATTGACACGTACAACAACAATAAAAACATGTTAAGTAAATCCCATGATATGTGTCATGGGTTATGCAAGCTGTATCCCTACCTCATGAAGGTAGAAAGACTGTTTCCGACAGACCATTGACACATTAGTGGAAAAGAAAATACGACAGTAAAGAAGACACGACACCAAACATGCAAAAATGAAACTTACAATTTCAAGATTTTCTATAGTATCACCATGTCTCTTTGATAGAGTAAATTTTCCATCCTTGACATATAAAAATTGGAGATGGCTAACTACTCTTCCATAAGAAATAAAAATCATTGCAATATCACCAATATCAACATCTTCCCATGTTGTTCCTTTCAATTTACTACTTGTCACAGTTTCAACTTTGAAACTCATATTTTCCATTTAACAAAGATTAGTTTAATCAAAAGATTGGAAAATAAATAAATTGAAAGAAAATAAAACAAAGAAAGACAATTAAGTTGTGAGTCTTTAGGTCCATAAGGACCTTATTATATATACTACTTTATGTTGCAATCTTTTATGCCTTTCTTGAAAATGAATTTGAGATTTGGAATTTTACTTCAATTGATAGACTAGGTTCTTTTCCTTTTTATAAAGAAATGTTGTTTATTGAAGAAACATGTGTTTTGTATTATTCCACAAGTGAGATCTCGAGAGGGTGACCTATAAAGTAGTTGTTTCCGATAGATTCTAGCCTCAAGTATTCTTTTATGAGTCGTTCACCAATAAATTACGTCTCAATGACCTTGGCGCAGGCAAAGCTTCAAGATTAGAAGTTTTGTTCGCGAGGTCAAAAGTTCAAACACCAACCTCCTCCAAGGTCATTCTTGTAAATCACGCGAGGTCAAAAGTTCAAACACCAACCTCCTCCAAGGTCATTCTTGTAAATCACACGACGTTAACGTCTACTTCAAGAAAGGGAAAAGACAACAAAGAGGCTCTATTTGTAGGAAGACAAACATGCATTTCCTTCTATGTTTTGCAAAGAAAAATTCAGAAGTTGGATGAACACTTCTGATTATTTTTCATACAATTCCATAAACCAAATGTCACATTAACTTAAAAAGGGGGGTTTTGGGTGGGGGTGGGGAGCATACCTAAGAACAACAAAAAGTATCTAAAACATTTTAGCTATGAACATTTTCATGTAAATCACCTAAAGGTAACTTTACTATCTTCCTCTGCTTTCTCTATTATCTTCACCAACATCTGTTTTATAAACATCATCTCAAGATTCACTGCAATATGATGGCAAAAAAAGAATCCGTTAAAGACGTATTTACAGGGAGTATATCTTCAAAATAGACAAATAGAGGTTAAATACACTACGATTCTCTTTCTTTAGACAACGATTTTGAGTATATCACGGGAAATACACAAACCAAGGATGAAAGAAAGTCTTTAGTACTTAGTTTACATAGTTGTGTCAAATTCGAGCACTTGAAAATAGTAGAACCAGTATAATCACTCCGAGACTAGATTTACGAACTGAGAATGAGCCTTGATATCATTATACATGTTAAAAGGCTACCCTTTAATAGAATGCTAAGAAATTGAATACAACAAAGTAACTCAGTGAGAATGTAAAAGCACACATCGAACTCCAAAAGGACAGTGATGTGTCGTTTACTTTCAATTCTTCGGAGACATATACGTTCAATATAATGCAGATTTGATATAAAAGTTTTTCAACTTCTACCTTGTTAACATGTAAACGAGAAAATTTATGAAACGACAAATAAATAAAAGCACTCCATCAACGGAATAAATTGTTTCTCAATTGAAGCTGTAAAACAAGCTCTTGACTTGCATATAAATTTAATTATCCATTGAACTAGGAATAAGCTTGAGTTTAAAAAAGGACTAGAAAATTTATTCAAGAATACTCACTTTACGGGTCATAGTACTTGCATTTGGTTCTTGATGGAAATTTACATATTATTCAACGGATACATGAGTGAACGGCGCCATAAGTGCCTCCATCTGCGTGAAAGGACACTCGTTCTTGCCGCATCTTTGAGGGGCAAACCACAAAGAATTTGAACAAGTGTATCGTCATCCAACTTATTGAGAGATTCACCTTCTGAACGGATTGATCTTTCACGAACTGAAATAATAGTAAACAAATCTTTTAGGGGTAAACGACAAAGATTCTGAACGAACATGATGCCGTCATTCATACTTATCAAGAGATTAAATACCTTCCAAATTGATCACGTTATCACGAACCGACACAGCAGAAGACGACATTGCCGCTCCCTTTGTTATCTTTTGAGATTCCGTGAAGCAACACAACACAACACGCAGAATTTGCGGAAGCAAATACAACACCTAATACCAAACGACAAGATTTTTTAATTCAAGATCAGATTCAATTTTCTTCTTCTTCTTCTTCTTCTTCTGATTGCAGGTAGATTCAAGAAGCTTATCATCATATACAATTCAAATAATCATCAAAATTCAAAGGGGGAAGCCTACTATTCTTTATTTTTGTTTTGATGACCGTGGTGTCGGGGCCATGTTTTCACTCAATTCGACTAATACCACAAGATACTTGTCACCTCCCGGTCCCACTAGCAACAAAGTTGAAGAGCTAACTGTTCTGAATAGTAATACTAAGATTTAGATCTTCTAAAACCAAGTGAATCACTTCAACATCGTTACACATAATCATCACAACAACATACCAATGTATACAAACCTTACCCCTACTCATAGCTCGTAGAGATAGATCGGTTGTTTCAAATAGTAATTACACATAATCACTATTAATTTAGAACATTTTTCATGTCTCAAGCTCATTCTCAGTACACATAACAAAAGCATACAAAAAATAATAAAAATTCAAGTAGTCATCAAAATTCAAAAGGGGGAATGCTACTATTCTTTATTTTTGTTATGACAATCGTGGTCTTCAAACCAGCTTTCGCACGCCTCGGTTAATTCCACTATATACATCAACAAAGTTGAAAAACTAACTATTCCGAATAGAAATACCGCGAGTTAGATCTTCTGAAACCAAGTGAATCATCTCAACATAACTACACAATCATCACAACAACACGTACACAGAGCTTACCCCTACCTCGTAGAGGCGCACACAAACACAATTTCCATTTCTAATAGTAACCATACATAATCATTATCAATTTTAAACTTTTTTTTTCATATCTCCAACACAAATTCTCAGAACACAGAACAAGGGCATACACACACACACAAAAGAGAAATTAAAATTATTATATAAAATCAATTCCACACACACATACAAAAAATCTTCACATGGCAATCTGAAATGAAAATCCTATCTAGCATTGAAAAACATTATATATAAAAAAATTCAAAAAAAAAAAATAAAAATGAACCTGACCGGAAAAATGGCCGGCGAGCAGCGGTGGTGGTGATTTGGGGCTTTGTAATTAAAAGCAAAACTAGGGTTTTACTTCTCTCTCAAATTTCTTCTTCTTTGGAGTTTTTGTTGCTTCATATATTATGTATCAATGGATGAAAGATTTATCAGTGGAAGTGTTCATATTTATAGTACTACTTTAAGGTCATGTTTGGACATGAAAATTAGTGATTTAAAATGGAAAAAACTTACCCGCATCGCATTGTGTGTTTACACAAAATCAATGCAAAATATTGATTTGATATAAACATTCGATGAGAGTAAGTTATATCCATTTAAAATTAGGTTCAATTTGAAGTTGAAGTTTTCGGTGATCATTTTTGCGAAGATCTCGAAAATTATCAAAATTTCTCTAGATTTTATATAATTCTACGGAAAATGAGCAAATTATAATTTCTATAGATTTTATATAATTTTCTTTACTTATAATTTAAAATTTGGATAATTGTATAGAATGACAAACTAATAACATAAAATAAATATAGTAGCTATCGTTTGATTTATTTGTGTTCCATAGCAAACTGTTTGTCAGTCCCTTTCTCCCTCATATTCTCGCTCGCCACTCTCCCTCTCTCGATCACTTCCTTCGCTCGCCTCTCTCGCTTTATAAAATAGAATTGTATAAATTGTGTTGTCAATTGTTTAAAGCGAGAGAAAATTGTATATACACATGCAAATACATATATCTCTGTCTTATACACTTATAATTACACAATAAAAGAACTTCCCTGCCCAAGTCTCTTTTGTCTTTTTCTCTTTCTCGTTTTATACAAATTCAAATTGTATATAATTTCTCCCTTTCTTGTTTTGTACACTTCGTTTTATACAATTCACTTCAATTATATATATAGCGAATTATAGATATATATGTTTGCTATGGAGCGCAATTATGTAAATTTTGTTATAGCGTACAAATATAAATTTTATGTTTGCTATATGTGAAAGTTGTCCTTTAAAATTCTATTTTATTCTTTACCCTAACTTTTAATAGTAGTTCTATCTGATATTCTAATTTTTTTAGGTTTATCATCAAATTATAGAAGTGTGCCATTATATAACGACAAAAAGTGATACAAGCTATCGTTTATGCGAATTTCGATAATGGATAACATAATGGAACTTGTGATAATGCACTTCCACACGAATTTTCATCACCGAAAATTATGGATAACATAAGTGTGATATCAACGAGATACATGCAATGCTTCAGTGAAAAACTCTTCTGTTACCGTTTGATACCAATAGAGTTTTAATATACTCTAATGTTATCAAAGAGGAATAGATAGTGATTCAGTGAAAACTAGCTAAATTGATGCTTAATACCATCAATATATATATTCACTCTTATGGTATCAAAGACGAAAAATAATGCTTCAATAAAAACATTGCTTAATTACTCTTTGATACCATTAAAGTGTGTATATATACTCCGATGGTATCAAAAAGGGACATATAATGTTTCAGTGAAACATTTTATATGTTCTGATGGTATCAAGGAGGAAGAAATAATAATTCAATGAAAACTAGCTAAATTAATGATTGATACTATGATATCAAAGAAAAAAAAACAATGTTTCAATGAAACAATACTCAGTTACTCCTTAATATATATATATATATATATATATATATATATATATATATATATATATATATATATATATATACTCCAATGATATCAAAGATAATTATGTTTTAATTCGTCATAGGGGATATGAACATAAATAGGTCGAGTCACAAATTAATAAATAGTTTAAGTTAAGTCCAATTTGAGTAAATAGTTGCATTAATCGGTCCAATATCCTTTAAAACATAATACTCTGATACAACACAATACAATAAGGGAAAATTACGCTGCTAAGTAAATTTATATAATTTAATTACTTACCATAGCTATAGTTTGCTATAATTATCACTCGCGACTAACATTATACATTAATTATGTGAGCTGACTTCGAGTTTGTATAATTAGTTACGTTTGTATATATATAATTCGCCAATATATACAAATACATATGTATAATATACAATTATTTAACCTATATACATAAATAATTCACCTCTCCCCCCTCTCTAATCTCTCTCGTTCGTCTCTCCCCTCCCTCTCTCAATCTCGCATGCCTCTCTCCTCCCTCTCCCATTCTCGGTTGTCATATATACAAATGCATATGTATAATATATAATTATATACATATACAATTCACCTATCTACCCTCTCTCGTCTCTCTCCTCTCTCTCAATCTCGCTCGCCTCTTTTCTCCATATAACATGAAGCTACAAATTGTAATTATCAGACTATAGCTATGGGAGTAATTGATTACGGATATATGTAAATATTAATATACAATAATACAATACATTATAAAACAATATGTAATAACTATTCCGAACAAAATGTATAAAGAAAATTGGTGGACAAATTTCTCCAAGGGCAATGCATTAGCCATTCCTCTTCCTTCAAACAAAAATAAAAATAATCAAAAACCTCCGCCGCTGACCTCCGCCGGACTGCCACCGTAACTTCCTGCTTCCTTCCGCCGAACTGCCACCACCACCGCCCTGCTGCCGCTACTCCCCCGCCGTGGGTCGTGTTTCTTCCATTACCGAATTTCAGTAAGTTGCTCGATTTACGCCAAAAACTTGATTTTTACGTACTTCAATTTTCTTCGATTGGCATTCTCAATAAGAGAGCTCGATTTCGAATCTGAGCTCTTTGAATTTCCATAAATCCGAGCTATTTTATCTTGTTACGATTTGTTTTGTAGTTTGTAGCTTGAGCTGCGATAAGAATGGGGTAATGGATGATGTATTTTGGTGAAAGTTTATACTCTGCTAGAATTGATTTGAATATATATTAATCGAAAAGATGAGTAACCCAAACAACAATATATCGAGTGTGGTGTGAACGTAGTCTTACCCCGACCTTACGAAGGTTAAGATATTGTTTCCGATAGGCCCTTTGCTCAAGTAAAACAAATATGAAGAACTCATGCTAGAAACAATTAGGAATAGAATACGTAGCAACAACAAATGTACGATAACTGAAGTAAAGGAAAATCGAAGAACAAGACAAGAGGGAAGATGTATTATTGTGAAACTTTATACTTTGCTAGATTATCATAGTTATCATCACCTTTTCCCTATTGATCGATTTGAATGTATTAATCGAGAAGAATGAATAACCCAAACAACAACATATCGAGTGGGTAATCAGTATTACCCCTACCTTATAGAGGTTAAGATGTTGTTTCCGATAGGTCCTTTGCTCAAAAGTAAAACAAATATAGTAAGTGTAGAACTCACGCTAGAAACAATTAAGAAAAGAGTACTACGTAGGAACAACAAAATGTACGATAACTGAAGTGAAGGAAACGACAGGTAACACTAGAATCGAAGAATAAGAAAGTTAGAGAGAAGATGAATTACTCAAACCTAAGTCTAATATAGATCAAACTGACTGAATGTATACCCTATTTGGACCATGTACATAGCACCGAGTCTCTGTTCAAAGCAATTTGGCATAGGTATCTCCAAATCCTCGATCAGTCTCTGCAACCTCTCATCTTCTTCTGCTCCTTTGCGCATAAACTAATTGAACCTTAACCTCTAATCAACATAACTAGCAATTCTTTTTACTCATCAGATGATCTTCTCGACCCATTGAACCTCCACGCTGGTCATAACTGTTGTCTCTCAAACCTGAAGTGTTGTTCTTTTAACCTTTTTTGGGGTTGTAATCACACATAGAATCGAGCAAATAGAAAGTCAGTTTCTTAATTCTATGCTTATTGCTCTTTTTTTTTTTTGTGCCTATTGCGGTCCTTAAATTGACAATAGGTTGAAATTAGACGTTATGAATCTGCTTTTTGAGTTTTCTTTTGAATTGATAATGTTTACCATTTTGTAAATGGTATTATGTTTGTGTCAAATAGATATATTACACATCTGAACTTGAGTGTTTGGTGAACAGGAAAAGTCTTGTCACTTTAGTTTAGATTGTTTCTTGTTTGATGCATGAATTTTATTTTTTCCTTTTGGTTTAAACTTCAATGTTCTTTACTTGTGGTTATTCATTGTTTGTTTATGTTACTTTTGTTTTGAGCCGAGGGTCTTTTGGGAATAACCTCTCTACCTTACGAAGGTAGAGGTAAGGTCTGTGTACATCCTACTCTCCCCGGATCCCACTTGGTGGATTACATGGGTATGTTGTTGTTGTTGTTGTTTTTGTGCTATTGCACATTTGTAAAAATGAATAATCCAATTTCGACTATGCTAATCCATCATACAATTTTGATCCTGATTATATTCAATTTAAGCGTGTGAATTCACTTTATGCCTTCATAACAAGGTGATTTGGAATTGCATATATAGACTATAGCTTATAGAAGCAACCGATCCTGCTTCCCTCATGGATGTTTCATCCCGAAAAAATTATATACGTGCCTATTATTCTTGTACAATTGTATCAAGTTACATATTCTTAACCAAGGCATTTAATCTGTTTATATGTTATTTAAACTGTCGTTCACTAGGTAAAAGAAGATCATGGTGGGATTTAAAAATAGATACTTAGTTATGGAGGTTTATTTGGATCCAAATAAAGGGACTGCATCAGATGAACCCATCGTAATCACTCAATTCAACTTGACCAAAGCCATCAGGGACGTTATTCTTACAAACTTTGGTGAGTGTGGCCTCGCCTCATCAGCAAATTCATTTCAAGGTGAGTTTAATTAGTGTAAGTTTTATTTTTGAGCATGGCTTTTCCCTCTGTTTTCCTCTTGTGGAAATCTTGGCGCAGTTTCAAAAGTTCATATTATGTGCAGTGAAGTATGTGAATCCAATTACAAAACTTTGTATTATACGAGCATCAAGAGAGGAGTATCAAAAAGTTTGGGCTTCAATTACCATGGTCAGGAGTGTAGGAAGTTGCCCCGTGGTATTCAACCTGCTAGACCTAAGTGGTGAGTTGTAGTGTCAAAAACGTGCCTTATAGCTATGTTGTTCGGGATCTTACAAAAATGATGCCATACCCGTGTTGGATTCTTCTAAAATACACTACTTTTGGAGAATCTGACACGGATTCATCGACACTTTTGAAGAGTCCGAGCAACAT